TTTTTTTTTTTTTTTTTCTAGCAGCTTTCTCCTAAGCTTCGCTAGCTTCCGGTGAGCTCTTTTTGCTTCTCTTCTCCACGCCCGCTATTAGCTAGCTCCGAGCTTTTGGTTCCTCTGTCCGCTGCAACTCTACTCCATCCTGACTGCCAGATTGGCGCAGCGCTAGTGGAAAACGCTAAGATGCTCTCTCCACTCTCCACTCTCCCTGCTCCGGCCTCGAGCCTCTCTATTCTTATTATTACGACTGCCGGGGGCACATGAAATCTACTCGTAATCAGCACCAGATTCGTAACTAGACTTTTCCTATCTTCTATTTAATCTACCTTCTTCCGGCAAAGCAGGTCACCAGTCGAGTAAAGTAATTGTGTTACCGGCAGCTGCCATTTGCCGTGATTCGTCCCTCTGCAATATGCCACTGTGGCTTCTTCTTGTTCAACAGCCTGCTTGGTGCGACGGGCTCGGTGACCACCTATATTATATTCCGTAATAAATAGCGTCGTACATGCCTCTCAGCCAGAGTCCCGACTAGGAGTTTTATGAGAATAAATGCGCCAGGTCACTGCGCCACACAGCTGGTGGCATTTTCTAGTCTTCCACAGACGGTGCCATTTTTTTCTTCTCTGGTGCACTGTGGCTGCAGCGAGTGGTTCGGATTTGTACGCCAGCGTCATGTCAACTCGCTTGCTGTAGCGTCGTATCGTCGCAACGAGCTATCAAGTCAGAAGGTGCTTGGGAAGATAGTGATGCTGCGAAATATTGGAGTTACGAAGGCATCATTTCGTGCACTGTTTCCCTTTCCCCATCTTGCTCGCATGGCCAGTACTCTGTGCTGCCTGCAGGAGAAATATCGTCCACAGCAGGGATTGACTGGACTTATGCACCCACGCGCTCGTAGCTCAGATCAAATTATTGCACCTCAACTAGACCAGGCCACAATCTAACCACGTTTATTTAAATAGACCACCGAAGGAAGTAGTCGAGCGACACAAGCAGATTTCCATGCCGCAGCCTCGAAAATACCTCGGCCAACTCGAGAATTTCTGCTGGTAACGCGCTACCCTACATCCATCGACTACCCCCACTTTACTACCGATGTTATCGATAATCCGATGTTATCGATACGGACCGATGCTTTTTATCGTCTATCCGACTATTTAGAACAGACGACTCTTCTAGCTACCAACCAAACCTCGCCCAAACACTTTGTCTAGCTCAAGGGCACTCTCGACACCATGCCCGCTGCCGAAGCGAATCACGCCTCCAAAAAGCGCAAACCCTCCACCTCCATCGCTAACCCTGCCGCCTCCAAGAAACCTCGGCACCCTCCGAGCGACAGCTTGCCCCCCGGACCAGCGCACGACTCTCCGCTCTGCGCGCCGCACGCGCCCATCCTGCATGAACTCGGCGCAAAGTACGACGTGCTGCCCGCGTCCGTCATTTCCTCGACGCCGATCCGCAAGCGCTTGGTGCACATTACGACGCATCTGCTGGGAGGAGCAGGTGGTGGTGGTGGCGATGGGAGAAAGAAGCCCCGCGTGGTGCTGCTACACGCGCGCGCGACAGAGGTCTGCAAGATGATTTCGGTGGCGGAAAAATGCAAGAGGCTGTTGGAGGAGCAGGGAGAGGCGACGTGGTACCAGTATAATCAGCTGTTTGACGTGTCGCGGGCGGACGCGGAGCGGGCAACGAGGAAAAGAGAGAAGAGGAAGAAGAAGGAGCAAGTGGTGGAGGAGACGGTGCTGCATGTGAAGGAAGGGGAGAAGGAAGAGGAGGAGAAGGAGGAGGAGGAGGAGGAGGAGGAAGAGGATGGGGACGAAAGTGATGCGTTCGAGACGATGCAGTCGAGGTTCGAAAAGGCGGTGCTACCGCCCGCGCCAGACAGGACGACCAAGTCGTTGCGCATATTCTTGTCGACAGCGGCCATTCCGGAACTGAAAGCGAAAGATGGTGTGACCGTGCAGACGAGTGGAAAGTGACGTGGAGCAAACAAGGAAAACGGGCTGGTGGAGTTTGTAACTGAATAGGAAATGCATTCATGGCGTTGGGCATACATACTACTTGGCATTGACACATTTGATCATGATTTTGATACCCAATATAATGGAATCTCGATTTTTCTACTTTTTCAATCGCTTGTTTTTCGCTATTGAGTTGACTCTTATACAAGCATTCATGGATATGTCCAAAAAGGATGTCATATAGACACGATTCAAAAAACAACGCCGACAGTCACACATGGCTTATATAGTGCAGCAACACACATTTCACATCTTTTCCACTCAAACCACCAACGCAGTCACAACCAGCATCCATTGTCCATTCATCTTCTGGTCTGTCCAAGCTTGGGCCCGCCGACCTGTTTTTAATGGCCGCCCTTTTGCTTCTTGGACGTGTCCATGATGCGCAGGACAAAGTTGACGACGACGGCGAGCAGCAGGATAATGGCCAGCACCGTGGGCCCGAAGCGGTCGTCGAAGCCGGCCTGGCCGCGAACGCGTATCGACTTGGCGCGCCAATGATACGTGACGAGGGCGTATATCATGGTGAGCATGGCGACGGCGGTGAAGAGAAACGCCGAGATAAAGGCAACGCGGTCGCCAAAGTTGAGCATGCCAATGGCGAGGGCGCCGATGATGACGGTGAAGTTTAGCCATGAGAGAAAGGTGCGCTCGTTGGCGAAGAAGACCTTGGGCTCGACGCGAGTGGGCAGCGCGATGCGCTTGCCTGCAGGAGGGGAGGGGATATTAGCTGAGGGGTTGCGTGGGCAGTGGTGATTTCTGGGGGGGGACGACGACGTACCGGGCGCGGTTTGGAGCAGAGGCTGAGAAGACATGATTGGCGCGGTTGCGGAGGATGGAAGTATGTGTCAAAAATGCTCGATTGTTCGATGTAATTGGCGTTGTGCGTGGTTTTGGAAGCGTTGCCTCGTCGAGTCGTCGTGTGGAACGAAGTCGGGGAGATGGACGAAAACAGTCGCTTATGACGGGTGGTCCTTCAATAGAACAAGTCAGGCAGCGTCTTTGGGACTGTTCGCCGCCAGCACGCTACAATTGAATGTTTCGTTCTAGAGCCCAACAGAGAGGCAGACAATTGTCACAGACGAGAGGATTAACAAAAAAAGAGGCTTCCTCGAAGCTCTCTCTAACTACTTTGCAGACTATGGCGACCGAGAACGACCAAGTCGTGCCCCACTGTTAGGTGGTTCGGTATAGCTAAGCTCTGCTTCCTTGAGGCCGCCTCGCACTGGTAAAGGCACGTGGGGTCCTTGGTTGGCTGTCAGTCACGTGAGCCACGCCGGTGGCTGAAGAGGCCAAAGCCTGGGAATGGGCTGCCAAGGGGCGAGCTAGCATTTTGTGGCGGAAGCAGCATTCTAACGGGATCATATAGCAAAGTTTTGTTTTTCCCCTTGAGCTGGGTGAGGTTGTGAAAGTATGCTCTGGTGGTTGTGTTTTGGTGGTACTATCGGGTCTCGGACTGTGTTATGTGGCTACCGATCTGTCTATTGACACTGGTAACTACGACTACAGGTCAATAGCATATGCGTCTGCAAGCCGGTCAATACATATTGTCATTCAGATAATTTATTCTTAGACAATGTCAATGTAATGTAGGTTAGTTTATTTTCATAATTCCGTTTTGAATCCGCATCTTGTGCAACACATGCAGCGGGCCGCCCCCTCGTCCAATCGTTATCGATGCGGCACCACCAATAAGTTGCCCGGTGCGCCAACAAAACAGAGCCCGCCCAAACACAAACAAACCCCCCATCGCCCAAACAACTCCCAACCAACCAATCCCACGCGCCAGCCCTCCCTTCCCCCCTTCGCGTGCAGCCTACCTAAATACCTGCCAGACGTTTGTTCCCCATCCTGACGCAGAAGCCTTGCCGTTTTTTCCTTTGCGTATCCTCATTGACGATAGCCACGACGTTTTCCTCTAGTCTCCCCCTCCCCCCGCCGCCTCGCACACACCACATTGCAGTCAAACGGCCGACTCCCAGTGACGCAACTCGTCAGCCACGGACGCTTTCTCAACGCACGCGACAGTATCCTAGAACCCGTGCAAAATGTCTACACCGGTATGAGGTCCTAACATGGAGGGGTTGTGGGAGATGCACCCTCGTCATTGCTACGACGCCCCTTTTGCTAACATGCACCTCGTTCGCAGCCCGTCGCCTTCAACCGCCTGAAGCAGATTGCCACCGATGTACGCTCAAATATACTTGCCATAGCTCACGACGGAGATTCCCAACATACCGGAAAGTGCGCCTACTAACTCGCGCGATAGGTGTGCAATAGCTCTATTGGCAACGCCGAGTTTTACGATCACTCCAAGACGGAGCAATGGAACTCGAACATAATTGTAAGAAGCCCACATATGAAAGACCCTTGTCGATCGATCTCGGAATGCATTGCTCGCGGCTGCTTCGGTTCTCTTCTTTCTTGCTAAGATTGTGTAAACAGAACTCGATGCTCAAGGCTGTCATCTCGGAATCGACCCCCCAGGGTGCCGGCGCCCCCTCGTTTAAGTTTGCCTGCAACAGCACCATTGTGCAGCACCTGGTGCCGACATCGTCGCTCAGCAAAGCGCGGACAGGCGCGGACAGCAAGGACGCGCAGCAGCCGCACATTTCGACAAGCAGCGAGGCCCCGGCAGCGGCGACGGCGACGGACGGCAAGCCGCACGTAGGCCGCCGCGGAATGCACAGCGCAACAGGCGCGTACTGGGACGAGAAGAAGGACGGCATGTGGACATTCAAGTACGACGGCGGTGAGAGCAAGGGCATGGATGTGGTAATTATGCTCATCTGGGTTGCGATCTAAAGAAATAAGGGCTCGGTGATGGTGGTGCTCTTATTCCGAAACTACCGACTGGCTGCATCTGACTATTGAATCTGCGATCTTTTCTTGTTGCTCTCTTTCTCGTTTGGACATGGCAAGGAGTAGACAGGCTGTTGGTTTGGTTCATGAAGTATACCTATTCCTATCTTCAAATGTCTTTTACAACTATTGTGATTTGCGACGTGGCGCACGAAAGCATAAACAGCAGTGTACAGTCATGACCAGTTTACCTAGGACATGCTTGGATTCCAAGTTGCTAATTTCTATTGACATTCTGTTGAAATGGACACTGACGTGCTGGCGTGTGATACGTGGCGATTGGACGGCGGAGCACAAAGGTTGGCATTGGGCAGCTAGCTTAGGCCAATCTCGCGAGATGAAGCCGCCTCGACGGGCGGACAAGTTTGTTGTCTGCCCCAGTCACTAAAAGGTTGACTACGTAGACAGTGGAGATATGCATCTTGCCATTACTGATGCGGCCTGGTAGTGACAAGAGTGACGGCGCGTGAATGGTTAGGAAGCGTAGTGTGAGGGGTCTCAGGTTGGTAGGTCCCGTGTTGATGGAGAAGAGGGACCATTTTTGCCAATGGCCGTGACATCGAAAATAGTCCGGTGCTAAATGGGGACGACGGGGGTTGCTGTCAGAATCAACTCTTGAAGTGGAGATGAGAAAGTAAATGATGGATTGCGAGAGAGACCCTCGGATGAGGTCTCGAGTGGGAGCTTCATGGGATGACGTATGAGTAGACTTCGTTTCGTTCTTGTGCTTGGGTGGGATGGCTGGTCACGCGCGGCTGCGTGGCAGCATGTCTGTCTCGGCACCAAGAACTAAATAGGTGGGCAAACGGATAACCCAGGGTCTCGGAACTTGAGCCTCAAAACGTGGCATCAAAGCACCTCCAACACATGCATGCACACACACAAGACACAACACACACGCTGAGTTCTTTTGTATTTTCAATCTCGGCCGTGGTTTTTTCGTAAAAGTCTTTGGACCCCGAAAAAGATGCTTTGGATCGACGGGAAGATGAGAGGGATCCAAGAGCCGTGGACGAATGAGAAGAGAGGTTATGACGCAAAAGTTGGGGCTGCTGAGCTTGAACAACTCCACTTGTAGTCCACGCCACGCACGATCTTGAGCAACTCGGCCATGTAGCTTGCCAAGTTGCCATCGCAGTGAGCGGAAAATGATTACGGTTTGGTGAGGTCGTAGTGGGTCAGGTACATAGGTTGGTACTGGTACTGATGCTGATACTGGATGTCGCAAACGAAAGTCATGCCCTCGAAATGCATCAGTTTGAGGGTCGAAGATGAAGACAAGAGCGAGGTACGATTGAAAAATACACATGTCCATGACTAAAAGTGAGGTGGTGGCTACAATGCACTACTGCATGATTTTATTTCTGCAACGAGACGCAGACTGCGAGGTACTAAAATTGGCATCTCTCTGGGCGGTGTCGCCGTGCTGAAGACAGAACCTCCACCCATCCACACCTTTTGTCTCTCGCGCCTCGGTCCCAGTTCGCCGTCTTCTCCGTATGGGTACCTGGGCAAAAAAAAGGGAAAAGACAAAATTCAGGGTCCGCGTTTCTCGCCTCCGTTGCACTTCTCTCCGAACCCTGTTTCCGTCTTCATACCAGATTATGAAAGCTTCTTGACCGCTTCCCCATATCAGCCCCCGTCATACATATCGTCATCTCATCACACATAAGAGTCCTCGCGCAAAACCCATCGTGACAAACCCTCTGATTGCCACACTTTTTCCGACAAGGCATTGTACGACGCGAGGCGGACCAGCTTGGACAGCTTTCGCGTCTCCCTACCCGCCCAAACCCCCGGTTTCTCCACGAACAACCAAAAGTCGCCTTTGTTCGGTGACCGAAGCGTCACCCGACAATCCAACGACGCCCACATCATATAAACCAGCTGGCAGCCTGACACGAAACCTCGCCCTTTTTCAAATCTGACCCCGCACCGTACCCTTACTCCTTCACCCTCCCCGGCCATCCATCAACAACAACAACCGCCGCCATGGTCCAGTGGCTCGCCAACCCCACGACGCACGCCCAGCGTACCACCACCACCCCCCGCGATGCCCTCCTCGCCAAGCGTCCCGCCCGCCGCGGCTATTCCGTCACCGACTTCCAGGGCGATGCCGTCCCTTTCGATATCCTCGCCGCCTTGCAATCCGTCTCCCTTGGCGGCGGCTCCACTACCACGCCCGTCACGCCCTCACCGTCTTCCTCCTCCTCCTCCGCCGCGCACGTTCCCACCGAGGCTAGCATCCCCGAAAACGCCGTCCTGCTCACCGCCTCCTCCACCACCGCGTCGTCCTCGGCGGCGGCTGCGGCTGCGGCGGGGCGGAGGCCAGAGTTGAAAAAGAAGAAGCCCCCGCGGCGATCTTACTCGGCGACGGACAAGGAGCCTGAAGACGCCGTGCTCGCACCCAACCAGCCCCGGCCGTCGCCGCACGCTGCGCCCGGCGTCGTCGGACTGCTCGACCTCCCGCCCGAGCTCCACTACGCGCTGCTCGACTTTCTCGACCCCATTGATGCCGTGTGCCTCGGGCTCGCCCACCGCCAGCTGTACACGATTCACCGCCGCAAAAATAGCCGCGTCCCGCTGAGCAGCCGCTACGACGGGCCCAACGATTTGGAGTGGGTGTGGCGCGGCGTCCGGCATCATCTGAATCACCGCGGCAACAGCAGCAGCAGCAACAGCAGCAGCAGCAGCAGCAGCCATCGTCGTAAACTGGAACAGACGTCGTCGTCGTCGTCGCGAGATAATGATGACCCCCCCGCCGCGGCGCTCGACAAGCTCCGCGTCAAGGGCCAGGTATACTGCCGCAAGTGCGGCATCGCTCGCTGCGAGCTCCACCGCCACATTAGGAGCTGGATGGGCGACGGCTACCAGTACTGCGAGATTACGGAGCGCTTTGGCCGACCGGCGCCCGACGGCGCCAAGTCGTACTGCTTCATGAGCTCACCAAAGGACAGGCGCCGCTGCGGCAGGCACAGCGCGCTGAAAGCCAGCAGCAGCAGCGGCAGCGGCAGCCCAACGGCATCAACAACGCCCGCGACGACACCACCCGCGGTGGACGCGTCTACAACGACGCTGTGGGCGTGAATTGTCGGCAAACCCCGTTGGACGGTGGGCGTTTTGAGCGGAAAAGAATATGTGTGTATATATCACGCCATGATGTTGCTGGGTTGTGTTTTCGAAAGGGGCTTTTTTCTTTTTCTTCTTTGGAATTAGGCGTCGGGAGGTGTATTTTCTTTTTCCTTCCAAGGGGGGGAAAATAAAGCTGTATCGGGATGAGTTGTGGCATTTTTCTGAACAAACACATGGCGCTACTATATAATAGAACGACCCTTTATAATTAAACAACGAGTTAAGACTTGGAGAAAAAAAAAGTCATAAATAAATTCTACACATCAACTACTTTGTACGACCAAATAAAGATTCGTTGTTGCAACATCTTGCATCAAGCGAATGTCTTGTAAGTGTGGTGGCACTCACTACCCAACCCGTTCGCATATGCAGCCACCACCACAACTACCCACCATCATCTCGAAAAAAAAAAAAAAAAAAAAAAAGCAAGGTCCCTCCCCTCCATGTCCTTGTAATGACTGGCCATCTTTTAGCAAAACATGCACCGCACTCCCGCGTCGTGGACCGTGGGCGTGAGCTGCAGCTAAGTGAAATGAAGACACCACCACCACCACCACGCCAACCACACAGGAACAAGGGGTCAGAAGCAGTGAGGGTAGTGGAGTCTACTGCTTAGTATCAAATAAGGCTGCGACTTTCATCTAAAAACATATCCGGTATGGTGTAGTGGCTAACATCGCTCGCTCTCAACAACAACTTGACGATCCGAGCAGCCCAGGGTTCGATTCCCTGTACCGGAGTAGAAATTTCCTTTTTTTGCCGTCGTTCTTGTCAGTTGCTACTTTTAGACTTTTCATTCAGTCCTGCTTGCTACATCTCTTTCTTTTCTTTTCATGAGGGACACGTTTTTTTCTTCTTCATGAATTGACAGGTTTAATAACACTCTTTCAACAGTGAATAGCTTCAAACTGTTGGAAAAAAAAAAGTATATACATGCAATAACCCAAATCGACGCCTGCTTTCCATTGTAAACCCAAAACCATGATCCAAAACGCCGTACCAATGATGATACACATTTGCACATGTACATGCACTTGCACACCTTTACTTGCTCATCCTAGTTTCTCGCTGGCCTTGAATATACCACCAGCCTTGATTGTGTTCGCCTCTGCCTCGCTAGGCTTTGGCTCCCCCAACGTCAACCCAAACTGCTTGAGCATTTCCTCCTTATTCTTTCGCTCCTGCTCCATCTGCTTTTTGCGCCTTTCCACCTCTTCCGGGCACCATTTCCCAACGCACGTGGGTGTTACCCAGTCGGTGCCGTCCGGACACTGGCCGTGGTCCTTGATCCAGCGGTCAATGCCCTCGACGAACCAGCCGCTCGTCGCGTCGGGCTCCTTCTTGGCGCCGCCGACGGGATACCCCAGCTTGAAGCTGTCGCTCGTGCAGCATTTTCCTTCGCGGTAGCGCCAGCTGAAGCAGTGGCGCTCCTTGCTGATGGGTTTGCTGGCTGTCTGTCGGCGGTAGCGTTGCCGCAGGTACCAGTCGCGCTCGTCGTCCGTCTTGAGCTTCTCGTAGGCCTCGGCGTCGACGTCGAGGCCCTCGGCGAGGCAGACGCGCGCGCAGGCCTCGACCGACTTGTGCGCGTGCTTCTCAATGACGTTGCGCCCGTCCTCGGGTTTGGCGAGGCAGCGCTGTTCGGCCAGGTTGTTCCACATGGGCCGCCGCGGCACCATGTTGGGCGCGACAAAGGCCTGGTAAATGTCGCGCAGCTGCAGCGGATCCGTCTTGGTCCGCGTCTGCTCGTACTGCCAGACGGCGCTAATTTCCTCCGAGTTCATGTGGTGCAGCGTAAAGAGCGGCTGGCACCAGTCCCGTGGGCTAAACGGGAGCGTGTTGGGCTTGTCGCCGTTGAACATGGGCGAGGCGCGGAGCACCGACACGGCAAGCTTGTCAATAACGTCGGCCAGAAGCGCATCGCCGCAGCAGGTGCGCATGGCCATTTCGTTGATTTCCTTGGCTGGAATCTCTTTGATGTGGGCTACTAGCCGCTCGAGAAGGACCCCAGAGATGGCGTAGCCAGTTCCTCCGTGAGCAAAGGGAAGATTGTTTAAGAATGCAATGCCGCCAACATAGACGTCCTCGGTCGCATTCATTCGCTTGTTGAGCCAATCGACGAGGTTGGACCACACAACGTAGGTATCGGCCTCGACAAAGACATACCACTTCATGCCGGGGCGCATCTCCCAGGTGCGCAGCATCATGTTGAGAAACTTGTACTTGTCGAGGTCCCAGCCTCCAGGCATGCCGGTGGTGCATTCTCTTTGCGAAATGGGACAGTCTTGCTGGGCCTGGTAGAGGAGGAACTCGGAGCGGTCGCTGCTGAGGATGTCTTCAACGCGGTCGAGGACGTTGTAGATGTGATATCTGCCAATTTGTTGTTCCTGATTCGTTAGCCTTGATGGTCAGTAATAGCTGTGGAGTGACAGCATACCAAGTCGGAAAAGAGCAAAAAGTCGGGGAGACATTGCAAGCTCGTGAGTAGCTGCGTGGGCATCTTGTCAAACGACTCGGTGGCGCCCGTCTTCATGACGGGCATAATGCCGTCTAAACTGGGGAAGCCCTGGCAGGGTTGACTGAAGTTCCAGTGCGGATGGACGGCGGCTTCTGTGCCATTTTGGTAGAGCGTGTTGTTGTAGACGCCGTGCTCAAAGTAGTTTGCAATATGGTCGTAGATGTAATGCGGGTAGTAACTGGCGTCTGGCAGCCGCGAGAGGCGGTAAAAGGAAAAGAAGAAGCATGTGCCGATGAAGGAGAGGATGATGGTCCGGAGATTGCGCGGCGGAAACGCAGGCGCCAAGAAGCGGGTAGGCTCGTGGGCTCCCATGTCTTTCAGACCCGCGGGCTGGTGATGGTGTAAATGGTGTTGATGTGGTTATAGCATGAAGCGACAAAGTGAGCAGCGTATCCAAGAAAACCAAAAAAAAAGGGGCAAGAATGAAGAATGTAGGGTAACCAGGGAATCGAACGATAATTTCGTCTCAGGATCTCAGGAGATAATGCGGGTGGAGGACAGCTGTTGGCGGTTTTGCCTTTTTACGAATTGATGAGACTCCAGTCTGGCTTAGCGCACGTTGGCACGCTGAGGAGCCCGGGCGACCACCCAAGTTTGTTTTTTCGTTACCGGGGTAAAGAGAGAAAGAAATGGTGAATACAAGAAGAAAGATGGACCAGATTGACGGAACTGTATTTGGCGAGGAAGGAGCCAAGAGTGCGAGAAATAAAGCGAATCGTCGAAGTGGGCGGGACAATGGACAAACGGGCGGTTATCAATGTTGGAGAAGATGTGCCACTCAATACTTCTAGGGAAAGAAAAAAAACTATGGAGAAATTCGTGCACGAAGACGTGTTCTTATGGCGAAAAATGATCCGGTGTTTATGAGCATCGACAAGCAGGCAAAGCAGGCAAAGAGATCAGCCATCTGGTTGTATCCGACCAAGCCACGGAGGGAAAGGCAGCGGGGGGGGCCACGGGGGGTGTGCGGGCAGGCGGATCATGATAGCACGGGCTTGCACGAGCTTGACCCCAGAATAGCAGGAAAAGAGAGGGGCGAGAAGGGGTTCGTGGCGAAGCGGCCGGATGTGGTTGGTCGATGGCGTTTGAAATGTGGCAAAGGTCAGGTTGAAAGATGGATGGAAATGAGGGGAAAAGGATGTAGCGGCATGCCTTGCCGATTTCTTTCTGTCAGGGACATTTTGTTTGGTATTGATTCGGCGTGCTTTGGCATGCCCCGAGGGAAAAACAACTAGGGCAACGGGACGAAGGAGAATAAAGGGACGGACGGGTAACTAGTTTCGGAGCAAGGAAGGATATGGGGGGAAATGGGGGGGGGGGGCCTTGACCCATCAACAAGGTTAATAAATCAAGGCAAAGAAAGGTCCTCGGACAAGATGAAGATTGTTGAACCAGAATAGTGGGTTTTGCATGCAGAGCACAGCTACGCAGGGGCTTATAAATTTTCTTTGCCAATCCGTAGATGAATTGTGATGCAAATGCCCTAGTTATTTAGTCAAGTATTGCAAAGATTTTGACCATGTTCCCTGACGTTTTTGAACGGATAAGCCGGCGCTCAACACGCCAACGCCACGCCTACCTATTGGACGCCCGACTCGAAACCCCCTCACGAAAAAGAAAATAAAAATAAAAACGCCACGGCGTATTAATAGTGCAAACCATAAAACATGTGAAATACTTGGGAAGATGGCTTTTAAAAGTAACCATTTCCGGCGGGGTTGGCGCTGCAGAAGCCGCCGATCACAAGTTTGTGGGCAGAAAAGAGCGCGCCTTGATGACGACGACGGCGGCGGCCTCAAGTTTCATTCGTGCGACGTGTTTATTATTACCCGCCCGCAGAATCTGCACTGATACTCTGCCCAGCGCATACATTCTTCATCTGCTTTATGCATGTCTGGCTCGCAATCTGGAAAAAAAAAAATTAATGAGTCGTTCGCAAAGTTGCCGGTGCCGAATCGGATGATCTGCCATTCATCTCTCCGGTGGTCCAACTTCCCCTTGTTCCATCTTCCCGTGAAGGGGGGGGGGGGCGGGATGTGACACGCGCGGGGGGGTGTTTTTTTTTGACATGGCTAGATTACGCTGTCACGTAAAAATGTCTTTTTACTGTGTAGTGAGTATCTAGCACGTGTAAGAACGAATATATATGCATTCCAACATATCTGAGCGACTTGACAGTGTTACTTGACAACAAAGAGACATTGCATAGGAGAGACGCTGTAGGGACCATGTCAGAAAACACCCCCCTGCCGCGTACGGGTACTTGCCAGTTTCCCCCGCCGTCCCTCTAAATACCTAGCTCTTACTAGTTACAACCAAACTAAATACTACGGACATGCTCCGACCCGAATGATTTATAAAACTTGTAACTTGATCCGTACCACTCCTTTGTTTATGCGCTTTCCCGAGTAATGGCCTCGCGGTCTCGCCCTGGTCCTCAGGAGCCAGACTAATGCAAAGTTTGCCGCGCTAGATACAAAGTTTACATCTAACAAAACGCTGACAGGAATTCCACGCCGCGCCGCGCCCCCCCAGCAACTGGGCTAGGTACATAGTCCGTCCAATGTCTCACTGCGCTATCCAAAGCCCATTACGGTTATATCCGTAGTTTTTTCAGCTGTTCCTGCTATTTCTTATGCTTCCAAAAAAAAAAAAAAACTCCATATATATCGAGAATCAATGGGGATAATTCTAGCACTCGTACGCCAGTATAAATGTTTGCTTGAAGAAACCAGCCTAGACCGTTCTGTGTGACCCTATTCAACGTAAAATGTCGAGCTTACACCCTCAAAAGCCGTAATCTTGCCCCCAAACGTCTTGGCATCTCCAAAGTACCTCAACCTGTACTCGCCGTCCGCCGCCCACTCCTCCACCTCCCACTCCAGTGTCACCTCACTCGTGCCGCGCAAGGCCGACAGCCGTTTCCAGCGAAACGCGAGCGCCCAGTCCGAGTCGTCGCGCACCGTCGTCCACTCGGCCCCGGACCCGGACCCGGACCCGGCCTCCGCAGTTCTGCGCTCGACGGCCGCGTACGTCTGCTCCAGACGTAGGTTGTTGCGCGGGTTGGCGCCGACGAAGCGCGCCGTCACCGTCTCGCCCCGCCGGAACCGCGTCTTGCCCACGTCTTTGCTGATGCTGCCGTACGGGCCCGACCACGTCCGGTCGTACACGACGCCGGTGATGAAGCTCACGGCCTTGAGGCTATTATCCGGCGGTAGTCGGCGCACTTTGCGGCCGGCGCGCGGCGTCGCGTGCGTGGCCTTGAGGTAGTGCAGCGTCTCCAACGTACGATTGATGTACGCCGACAACGTGTGCGCGCCGTACAGTGTCGAGGCGCCTTCATAACGTTGGATACTGATTTATTAGCTTTGTAACATGGATGCGCCATCGTTCAACACTCACTTGTACTCTTGCTCCGTAGTAATGTAATGCGTGTAGCTGTTGCTGGGAGCGCCAATCACCACAATCGGCTCCTGGCCGGCCAAGTCCTCCTTCATCTGCTCCTTGCTCTGCGCTGCAACGGCCTCCTTCCAGCGTCTTCCCGCCATCGTCGTAGCCTCTCCCGGGCTGACCACGATCAAGAGCTGGCCAACGCGAAACGTCTGCACGTCGACAATGTTGGGCGTCCATTCATACGGCCGCCCCACCTCTCCCACGTCCAGAATGATGGGCTTGGGATGCTGGCAGTCCATCTGCTCCTGGCTAGGCGGTTTGAGCAGCCAGCGCACGACGCGCCAGATGGGAGAGGAATTCGTCATGTTGCTGCCGTGTTGAATGAGGTCAAAGTGCCCCGGCTCGTCGCTCGTTCCGCCTCCGAATGAGTATCCCAAAGCGGCCGGGCACGTCCGAGCCGCGGTGCCATTGGTAAGTACAAATTCGTATCCAGCCATGTCGTGAAACTCGTGCACCGCCTTGACGCCTACGCCTCTGACATTGTTCGTCTTCTCGTTGAGCTCCTTGTACACGCTCATGGCGCCCTCAACCTGCAACCGAGCAATCTCGTAACAAGACGACGCTCCGTAATCATTCTTGAGGAAAAGAGGTCCGCGGCTGCGGCAGAACCCAGGACGTCCGTCGCTGCAGCTACTAGTCTTGAAGTCGCAAGGCTCACCCGTGTCTTCGCAGTATGCACCAAGAACATTCGGGCTTGCGTCTCCCATGTTGGCTTGCGAGAAGCCAGCCACAAAGTCGTCCGTCTCGCCGCTTCCGCCACGGACCTGACGCTCGAAGAGGTCTGCTGCGAGTCCCTTGTTATCGCCCGTAATCAGAGTATTATTGGCCTGCATCGAAGTGCCGTGCGTGGGGAACCATGTAAGCACGCCGATATTTTTACCATCAGCCTCTCTCTGGAACTTGAGAACCGTGATATCCTTTTCGACGGAGCCGTCGTCTTCCGTGCTAATGTTGTAGCGCGCTCGCTCCTCTTCAGGATTTGCGTGGTAAGAAAATAGACTGCGGTTGATGTTGGCACCGAAAATCTTGGTCTTGCCGACGCTGAGAGTACCTGCAGCGAGGCTCTCATGCGCCCGCTGGATGGACAGCAGGCAACCGTCTACAATGGCCTGGTAGCTCTGCTTATCGAAACCCTTGCTTGTGATTTGCGGCAGCAAGTAATTCACCCAGGCTCCGGGACCAGAGTGTGAATGCGTGGCGGTCACTGCCAGGTTGTCGTGATTATACATGGAATATCCTGGGCCAAGCTTTTGCAGGCCATAGAGAATGCCAAACCGAACAGCAGTATCGCCAGACTGGGTATCGAGGACGAGGTAGATGAACCGATCCTTGGGATTATCAAGATCGCCAACAATAAAAGCACGCGAGTATAGACGCTGGCGTAAGCCGCTGCCGATCTGATTGGTGTCCGCATAGCCCATCATGTTGAGCTCAACGACAGGGCCGGTAATGTCGGCTTTGCCCACGCCCAGTAAATAGCGGTCCGTCTCATGGGGAGCAGGGAGGTCAGCGAGAGGCTCATCAGTATCCTCAAACTCATAAACTCCCCAGTCCCCTAATCGCGACCACGGGCGCAAGTCGGTGGATGTGCCAAACAGGCGGAGAGTAGCGATGACGCACGCAACAGCCAGGACGAGAAAGATCATGCAGTAGCCGCATCGTGAGAAACGCGACGTGCGATGCTTCACCAACGGTTTCTCAAGTCTTTTGAGGCCTCCCTTCTGAGGCCTGGACTTGCTGGCGCTGGCCGGCGGTGCCATGGTGGCTGGGTTCAAAACGTGCGGGAGCTGCTCATGAGTGTACGGGTATAAAAGGGCGAAGAAAAAGGATGAGGGTGACGGCGCGATCAAGCGAGAAAGAGGTTACAAAGAGAGCTTCAGACCAGCTGCAAGCTCCTCCAAATCATACGTGATAGTTTCGTGAGTGCACAGCCTGACGTTGTCACGCCCATAGCCGATACGCGGCCAGTTTCGTGTTTGAAGTGTCAGACTAGATGCGGACTGGCGCGCCAGCTGGCGCTTTGGTGGGGGCGCCAAAGAATGAGTAGTCTCAGCACGAGAAAACAAACAGAATACAACAACATGTCAAGCACCTACATCAGCACGAAATTTGTCGATAGCAATGAGAGACGAAGATGACAACAGGCAGACAAGCATCTACATCAGCACAAAATGTGTCGGTAGCGATGGGAGGCTACTTGCGCTACCTATTCACCAGCATTCAGTGGACGCAGCTTGGCAGCCTCCACGCCGCCCAACCTGTCGACAATAGCAGCCCTTGAACGATTTCGCAGGGCGTAAAACCATATCTTGACTCAAAGTAAGCGCTTCACTGACAGCCGCTGCAACAGCGCAGAGCAGCCGAACTGGCCCGTCCCGCTATCATGATCACCAAACCGCAGACGAGCCTTTTCCGATGGACAGGATCGCTCGGATGAACCAGTTCCGGTTACAAATCATTGACAAGCTTATCTTTACTTGAACATCTTCCATAGCGCGATCTCTCCATCCACAGCCAATGACCAGCATCGACTCCGTCACGCATCGCTGCACCAAGTGAAGCACGTCACCGCATGGCTCCGCAGAAAGGCCACCTATCTAGTATCCACCGCCACGACTCGGCTGGGCATAGCGCTGTGGTCGTTGCGCGTTGACGAATAGTACTTGCAGATTTCGTCTTATGATCCGCATACTGAGCATCGAGAATACCGTTTGATCTTGGCCTCGGAGCGCCATCACTGGCTGGCCCTCGCCGGCCTCGCTAGAGCTGCGCGCATTACCCATACCCTTGGTCCGCACCGAGAATGATTCCATGCATCCTAGACTCGCTGAAACGGCGGAAAAGGGACAAGTACGTGCGTGTCACTCGTACGATTAGCCCAAGCCGAAATCGACACCAGGATCAAGGTGGCGGGGTATCGCAGTGCGTCCGGCCGTCCCGCACTAGCCCTATAATCAATCTATTACGAAATGCAGCTTATCTTTATTTTCCTACAAGAAACATTTAACTTTGCAATTATTGCATTGCACATCTGCCAGCTGCATCACGTCAATTGAGCAAATTCTGTGGCCGTCCCGGATCTGTCCTCGGAGCTCCGCCGCGGGGCGCAAGCAAAAATTGGAAACACCATAGTGGTGCGCAGTGACAACTGATCACCTGAGCAAAACAACTCAAGAAGACAAAATGGGGGAGCAAAGAAAGGGCGAGCATCGCCCAATACAGACCAGCGCCGTCATTGTTCTCAACGCCTCGAAGCGCCCGATTACCCGGCCTCCGTCGCCGCCGACGCCGTCCGTGGTACCTGCCGATACGACGGCACCGTTCACGGAGTCGCCCGAGCCATTTCAACTGGCGGGCCAGCATATTCCATATAGATCACATACCCCATATACAGCATCGCAAAGCCCCCAGGATACGGGAACTTTTGCAGAAGACGAGGGCAAAAAAGAGGTGCGCTTGCGCGATGGCCTGCATGTGCTCAACACAGAGGCGCTCGCGCTAGCCAACCTCACACAGCTATACGAGACGGATGCCTTTGCGCAAAACGGCTTCCACAAGGCGGTGGAAGCCATCACGCGGCAGGGCACGACCAACAGCAAGCTGGTGATTGTTGGCGTCGGCAAGTCGGGGCTGATTGGCAAGAAGCTGGTGGCGACATTTCAGAGCCTGGCGGTGCGCGCCGTCTTCTTGCACCCGACCGAGGCCCTCCACGGCGACCTGGGCATCGTGGGCCCCGACGATACGCTCCTATTCATCACGTACTCGGGCTCGACGCAGGAGCTGCTGGCCGTGCTCCCGCACCTGGACGAGTCGCTGCCGACGATCCTCATGACGTCGCACACGCGACCCGATGCCTGCGAGTTTATCAAGCGACGGCCCGGCACCATTCTCGTGCCGGCGCCCGTCCATGAGCCGGAGCGCGTCTCGTTTGGCGTGTCCGCGCCGACGACGTCGACGACTGCAGCCCTCGCCCTCGGCGACGCGCTGGCCATGACGGCCGCGCACGAGCTGCATCCCGACGTCGCGGCCGCTTTTGCCAAGAACCATCCCGGTGGCGCTATTGGTGTCGCCGCCGTCGCATTGTCATCGTCATCATCATCGTCGTCGTCGTCGTCGTCGTCGTCGGCCAAAAAGGTGCTGGTGCCCCCGCAGGCCGTCACGCTGCGGCAAATCGCCGTTGGCTGGGACCACATCCACGACGCCAGCCATCTTCGCGGCGACAGCCCGGCGGCGAGCCTGCTGCGGGCGGGCTACGCCTCCAAGCACGGCTGGGTGCGGGTGGGCGAGGACATTGCGGCCCCGCGCCGGCTGCGCGGCCTGCGCGACGATGACCTCTTCCAACCCTTGGGCAAGCTGCGCAGCGGCGGCGGCGGCCTGCTCGTCTCGTGCCACGACTTGCTGGCCATGTCGGCCGAGACGACGGTGCGGCAAGCCCGCGATATTCTGCGTGGAACAATCGGTGGTGAGGACGAAGGCGGAGATGCCGCTGCGGCCAGCAGCAGCAGCAGCGCGGATGGCGAGGCAGAAGGCGCGGCGACGTCGGCTGTGATTGCAGTGACGGAGAATGGGCGCATCTACGGCGTGCTCGAGGTGGCGCAGGTGCTGGAGCACCGGGATTAGAGTCGGGCGTCTTGTTTGCGGAAGAATAGTGCATTGGTCATTATCGGGCCGGCAACAGTCCCATATGACGATGCCGTATCGTCACGGCGTGGCGTTGATCTTGCGCTGGCTCTGTTCTGTTCGCTCGCGTATATATTTAGCATCGATATGTTGCATTCTAGCGATGATGCATTGGATTTATTTGTGTTTACGGTTTCTTTTTATTCTACCGGGTAGATTCGATGCCCGAGGTTGGCTGGAAAACAGCGTGCGGCTCGCGCCGCTGGATAGTCATGCTGCACACGGAACTAGAAGGGAGGTAAACGGGCCAAGAGCCCTTGGATTCGTTTTAATAAAAGAAATCTCCTCTTTGCTTGACATATTTGACAGAAAGGCAAGCTCGAATCAATTAGAGTTAAGACTACGACTGGAGACGGACGGGTTACTTTTGTCTTTGCCTTGTACCGCCGAATAGTGTCGAATCTGAGAGCGGCGACTGCGCAAGCGCGCGCGATGTGGTTTTTGAACATTGGAAAGATTGGTTAGCTTACCTCTTTTCATTTGCTTTGCTAGCTGTCTCAATTTCTGTCCCGTCGACGCATGTAATCGCCAACTACCCCGAGCTGAGTAGGCCAAGAAAGCCCTGCCGGACTCGCTTCTGACGAACAATCAAAATGAAATGTTTCCCAGGTTAAAGAAGAAAGGATATATATATATATATATATATAATAGGTGACCGGAATACGATGGAGACTCTGCTTTGGCCTTGTAGCACTTGTTTTTGACGGAAACGTAATGTTAAAGCTGGACCCTTGTTTTATCTACCAGCCTTTGCCTGCCAAGGACTGATTGGCTGGTTGTTGGACGAACAGGCAAACGGTTTTTTGGTCGTTATCGTGAGGAGCTATTTGGAAAGCCGGGGGAGAAGGGAAAAAAGGAAAATAGCAAAAAAAAGCACAAAATGGAAAACATGTGCCATGGTGGTATTGGTGGTGGCGGCGGTTGGGGGCGGAGCGGGGACCGGCGGTATCGTGAGACCTGCACAAACGGGGCTCGTCCTTGTGGTGGTGGTGGTGGTGGTGCAGTGGTGTGCGGCTGAAAAGGGCAGTTCCTCCGTCACAAGAGAATCTTTTTTAGAAGCGCCCTTGCTCTCGTCATTTTCATCCTTTTCTTTTTTTTTTTTTTTTAGAAATTAAAGACATTGTTTCGCCATTACATGGGTGACGGGATATGATGAAGCTCATCGGGTGTATAATATGAGGAAAATAAACGAGATGAAGAGAAGTCGTCAGTTACAGCGAAAAGACGACAATTTTTTTTTGCTGTAAAAGTATGAATAGATATTGTAGGTTACAGTTTGCAGCTAAAAAATGGCCCTTTCGCACATGAAATCCCTGGTGTAGGTACTAGTCAGCCCATTGTTTGATGCAATATACATTGCCGACATGCGCAAGGCCGTTTGTATTGTGCACTTGCGGGGCATCGATACTGTCAACTTTTGGGGGGAGGGGGGAATTGTAGTAATCATGGCATATCGAGCACCGTTTATCTTTTACGACGCAGGGTGTCGGGCACAGAGAGAATACGCCGAGACCGGGACAAGATTAGCAATTTCTTTTCTTTTCTTTTCTTTTTTCTTTTGGCATCGGCTCAAATTCCCGTGCCTAATTACACAGTGACACTGCATTGCAGGAAGTGGGTGGGATTCTCGTCGTAATCGAGATGAAAGAGGACAAGTACAACGGCAGGTGCTCGCGTGACCCCTCCAAGGGACCCTGTTTGTCGACCAAGGGTCCTTTTGGACATGAATCTTTCTTGCCAATTGATAAGTGGTTGGTCACAACACGCACGAGGCAAGGACTTTTCTCATTGTTGTCGCGAGCACGCAAGCGATTCCCTGCTAATGTGGCGCAAACGGCCGCACGAATAATGAAGATGGAGTAAAATCCCCCACTACACTTTTCCGCAAGTCATAATTTTTTTTTGGAAGTACTGGTTCGGGATAGTGGTTTTGGCTGTCGGGCTATTACTCCGTAGTAGGCGCCACTTGTAGATTGCAGATATGGGGCAGTGGGTGGACGGAGCAGTGGAGGGCGCCGAAACGAGACACCGACTTGCAGCAGAGATGATACAAGACTCATTCCAGAAAAAAAAAACACAAGAAGCCACTGATGAGCTGATGCATGGACAAGTGGCACGACGAGGAGCAACGAGAGCTTGGGAGAGTGGGGGCGATGGCACAGGGTCGTGTGCTCTCCTGCCGGAAAAAGGGTCCCGGAGGGATAGCTGCGAGATGTGCACAAGGCTCGTGGGACAACTGGCGAGGTGCAGAGAAAAGGAAGGGATTTGCTTGAAGCATTTTCAGACATCATGTTTACGGCGGTGGCTTGCTGCGGCGCGAACCGGGGAAACGGTGCCGTGATTTGAACCCTGCATGACGGGCTCGCAAAGGAATGATGCGGAGAGAAGGAGGGCTCGTTGGCGCGGGGAACGGCATTGCGTCACGCAGCATGTCATTTCTTGAGATTTTTTTTCTTTTGGAATTGCTGTCGAAACTGCTGTTCATGACATGTCATTTTGGAAAAAGCGACTGACTTTTTGCCAATTCCGCGGGCTAGGTCGAGGGCTTTGATGAGAACCGCAATGGGATTAAAGCGCTCTGCGGATGTTGTTCAAGTTGGGACCGAGAACGCTAAGCCAGGCTGAAGCTAGGTGTGATGGCCCTGATGGGCACGAGGGATTGAATGGCGGAGCTTGGGCGGTGGAATCGGCCTAGCAGGTGAATTTGAATTTGTATTCTTCTCCTTTTATTACTATTATTCCTTTTTTATTTTTTAATTCAATAGCGTAGTGCGAGGTCGAGGTCGAGGTCGAGGTCGAGGCCGCCGAGGTTGCATGCGGGCTGGTTGGTGGTTATGCAAGAAGCATGTACGGCATGGCGGGCGTGCGTGAGACTGGGAGGTGGTCGCGTGACCGGGCGATGGAATGTCACAGTAGGCCACGGGATTGAAGCCGGGATCTAGACAGGCAGTTTGCTTTTTCCCTAGTTTTCTGTCTTTTAATGGAAAACCGAGGTAGGTGTGTGAGGAGTGGTGATTTGGTGAAGAGCTTGTCGCGGACAAGGTTACTCATTTCAGTCACCGAACGATGGAGACGGGCCGGAAAATAGTTGAGAAAATGAAGCCAAGAAAAACAAAAGTAATAGAGAATAGAAAGGATAGGAAGACTGTCATGATAGGGAAAAGGTCCAAGAGAAAAAGAGAGGGGCAGAAGACTGATGCCAGGTGCATGGGCCCGCATGGGGGGTCGCACTTGCATGGCATGGGGTTGTCGAGATGACTGGGCGGGGGCAAAGGCAATGGTGCAAGGCTTGCCTGCAGTCACGTCGCATTGCATGAACATGGCCAAGAGGAGGCGGAACTTGTGAGAATTCAGCAAAGTCGGCAGTAATGAAGTAATGATGGAATGTTATACTATCAAGATGTTGGTGTGGATGAGTGGACAGTGAGACGGGGGGTTAGCTGGCGGGAGGTGGTGGGTATGAACGGGCATTGTGTCGATCATATAGTATCCCTAGTGAAAGTAATTGATGAGATGGTGGATGAATGAATGGTGAGTTAAATAGATGGATGGATCAAATGGATAGAGGCGAATCTGCAGGCAGGCCGGATTGTGGACAGACTGGGTCTCTGGAGTCTGCAGGACGAGGGCTGCCAAGCTGCTTTGGGGAGAGGGGAGCTGTGGTGGATTCGAGGACGGCCCCTCCGGTTCTCCATTCAACCAAGTGGTGGTGGACAAGACAAGCGAGTACATTTTGACTTATTTTTTTCATTCTAATTTTTTTCGAGGGGGGGGGGGGAGTATTTCGACTTATATATCGTCAGATGTCGGATCGTCGGGGTGGCAGAATTGGTCGGAAGTCGGTAAATGGCAAGGTTGCACAAGGCGTTTGCTAGCGGGAAATGCTTTCAATCTCTTCTTGTTTTCTTTTTTTCGGATCGAGGCCACAGGTGAGGCGAGGGCGGAAGATGGCCGTTGCGGGGACCGAGGAATCGATGACTGATCGAGATGGTCATGTCGGAAGGAAATGAAACGAATTGATGGATTGCAGCGAGGTGGCAAAGCATTGTGCATGTTGGTGCGCCGATGAAATGTAAATGTATGAAATCGAAAAGTCCATATACCACATTGACCGCCTGCATGAGGGGTAGATGCATAGTATTGGCATTGGCCTACACAACTGGATTACTCGGTTATACTTGAAACGAGGCCGTTGATTCTAGTTCGTGATTCGCACCAAATGTATAAACTTTCTCATATACACTTGTTTTCTTCCTTTTCAGAACCATTGCAAAATGACCAATGGCGGCAACGGCCCAGCCACGTTGGGTTGGCTGTGAGTGGTCCATCAAGGCTTACAGGGGGCAAAGGGGAAGCGAACAAGAGAGATCCACCACAAGGAAAAGAAGGCCCCTGCTAGCGTCATCCAGAAGTCCGGATTTGCCCAGTGGTTGCAGCCGAGGACCAAGAAGAATGCACTATGCCAGACTATGACTAGGGCCAAGTTTGTCACTGCCATACTGGTAGTCTGTAATCTACAGGCTGCAACATGCAGCATGCAGGTAGCAAGCAGCATGCAGCAGCAGGCAATCGAGGCCGCCCATCAACTAACGGTCCACTTGAGCTTGTCGAGGCCCAGACCCCCAACAATCCCCCACCAGGGCGTGCTTCTGCATCATTACGAGATCAATGTAACCAAGGACGAGCCTGTGACGAGACTGTGAGTTTCTCCTTTTCCATTGAAAAAATCAATATTGGTTCTGTGCGTATCATGTGCAAATGTCAACGACGGCTATTAACCCACATGTCAGTACTCCGTACTCACGGGTTATCTTTGGTCAGAAATGAACCACGATAGCTGATAACGTTGAACGAATCAAAACACGCAAAAATCAATCATGAATGATACTGCACTAGTTACAAAAAACTGCACAACAACACGGACCCTTGTTAGTTCTGGCACCAGTACAAGTTCTCTTTTTTTTCCTCGAGCGCATGGGTAATAATGCCTGTGTCCATGCTCCACCCGTTGGCGCCCTCGGTGCCTCAACCAGCGGTCCAGCACTAAAACGTCGTTCCGACTCTGCCTGCCCGTCTGTCCCTCTTGATGCCGTGCTGTTGGCGACTTTTAGCATCATGCCAAACACGCCAACCTGGCCTGATATTTCAACGACAGTCAACTTCACAATTGAACGAGAAAAGAAAAGATCTGCTTGGAAAATACCATTTACAGTACAGTACAACCAATTGACCTGATCTCACACCCCCTCCCATCGTTAGCCATCGTACGTCTCCCTTGTCGTAGCCACACCCTATTCTTACGCTAATATTAAAAGCCTTCCAGGGTCCCCCCCTCCACTCAAGGCCAACTCCAAAAAATCGTTTCCAAGTCTTGCCCAACAGCCTTTTCGTTTGCCTCTTCTTCTTCTTCTTCTCCGTCCCTTTCCTCTCGTCCCTTATTTTCCTCTCCTTCTCCTTCCTTTTCGTACTCTATTCACTCCGAAATTTCCATCTCCCTTCGTCCCAATCTCCTTTTCAATCGACGATTACACTCTTCCTCGCCCGTTTGTTTCCCTCTCGCTGGCCTCTTTGCCTATTTTCGCATTACAACTGTTGGGCGCCTCGACTGTCGCTGTCTCACTTGCCATCCAGAGACACTGTTTCGGTCAATTGATTGTCTCGATCCCTACGACCTTCAAAATACAACCATCTACCACTTCTGGCTCGTCTCGCCGGTGTCGGTCGTTGCGCTGTCACGGCCCTCTTCAACGCTCCCCGCGGCACCACTTGCACCATTCTGCGCGCGCGCCAAACTACCAACTACCGGCTTTGTGCACCACCTCGCTCGCCTCCGTCGCCACATTGCCGACCAACTCTTTTTTTGACTTTATCCCCCGCCTAGCTCTACTCGTCATCTCGATCGTCATCTTCTCTCCCCTCTACTACTCCTTATTTTTCTTCTTCTCTACTCTCCATCAAATTCGTCAACGCCTCATCCATACCCTGCCTCCCAAACCTTGGCCGCATCCCTGCAAACGCCCACCAGCCAGCCCACTTGTGACGGCACTGCCATAGCTACAACCCATCAACCTGAGCTTTGCTGCGCCCAAACCCGCCTCGACGACGACGACGACTGCGACTGAAATTTACATTCCATCCACCGGGCATTGGCCCCCTCAACCACGCACCGCAGCCTTTCACCTCTTCTGCCCCCGCCATGAAGTACGGCGAGCAGCTCGAGCGTGAGTCGGCTCCCCAATGGAGTCTCCGTACGTTCACTTTCCTTTGCGCGACTGTGTGTTGGGCCCGTTGTCGGCTTTTTTGTTTTTTATCTTTTATTACAAGAAGACATTGTCTAACAATCCTCCAGACAACCTCGACTACAACTCCCTCAAGCACGAAATTAAAATGCACACCACCCGCGATCAGGCTACCGCCATGACCATTCCTGGCTACGAGGATCCCGCTCTCGCAAAGTTTGAAAACGCCCTCTTTGCCGAGCTCTGCCGCCAGCACGACCGTGTCGACCTCTTTGTCACGAGCAAAGCCGACGAAATTCTGCGTCGAATGGGTATGCTTCTCCTTGTCATCTAGACTCTATTACTGTAGTTTCACACTAACATGGACAGAACACTTACAAGCCAGCACAACCCGGTGGATCTCAAAATACGACCAAGAAGCCCCGTCTCACAATCTCGCCATGAAGCGCCAACGCCGCTTTGCCAAATACGAGCGCGAGCTTCTCAACTGTGGTGACGACATTTATGCCCTCGAGCGCTTCTGCAAGGCCCAGGTTACGGCCTTTCGGAAAATTCTCAAAAAATACAAGGTATGCACCACACCACACCACACATCACACAACGCATCACTCAGCACTCTACACACCACACACCACACAAAATCTCGCACAACGCATCACACAACACGCACCGCACACCACACATCACACATCACACATCCATTACACTTACCTTGACCTACGCCTTGATCTATCCGCCTCGCTTGCACTTGTACCATTCAATTGGGTCCGCCTGACTTACCTACCCAGAAATGGACCGGCTCAACTGCCCTGCAAGCCCGCTTCAACGATCAGGTTCTCGGCAGCCTCAAGAGCTTCACCCGCCGCGACTTTGCCCCCCTCCGCCAGCGTCACTCAGACATTCTCGCCGCCCTCCGCCGCGCCGCCCCCGCCGTCAGCGAGCCCAGCTCACCTTCTTCCGTAGAGCTGCCTCCCTCGCCCGCTAGCACCGCCCGCCGCGTCTCCCGCGTCAACTTTGAGCCCCTACCCCCGGCCGCCAGTTCCGCCTCCCCGCAACACAAGTACTGGAACGAGTACGATGACGGAAGCGATGCCGGAGCCGACGAAGATGACGCCTACGCCATCTACGTCAACCCCGACGACGATGCCGCCTTTCCCGGCATCGGCTACGTCAACTCCATCGTCACCATGCCCTACCACAAAATCCGCGGCTGGTTCAAGCTTCGCGATGAGCACCCCCGTCGACCTCTTCTCCCTAACCGGGGCCGTGCGGGCTCCGACAGCTACTCGTCCACCGCCCACACCGAATCCGACCACGAAGCCGGCTACTCGAGCTCCGACGCCCTGCTCCCCACCGCCGGCTACACCACCCACTACGCGACTTTTCCCAGTATCAACGAGCAGCACATCCGCCGGTACCGCGAGCGCGTGCTGTCCTGGGGCACCGTTGCCTGCTTTGCCGTCGCCTACATCCTCATGGGCGTCGCCGCCATACTTATCTCAACAGGCAGACGGAGACTCCGCGTTGAGGTCGACGTTGGCGTGACCGTCGGCGTCATGATGAGCCTGTGCTTCTCCTGCGCGGGGCTCGGCATGACGTTGCACCGTCAGGATGAGCTGGCTTTCATCACCCGTCTCGCCGTGTGGCTGTCATTTACAGCCTCATGTTTGATTAACGGCATGCTCTTGATTCTGGTCGTGGGCAACACGCCGTGAGTGCATGTGGTGATGATGATTGAAGTGTGACGGCTATGGGCCGTTGTACACCAATTCTTGGTAATATCGTCACGACTACTTTGCTGTACTACACCAACTCTTGATTATATCCTTGCGGCGCTCTGCTGTACACTGTTCGGCTACTCTGTCATGCTCGTGACGTTTGCATATTGTTGCGGGCGCCACTCTGTACACTTTTCTTGGTTCCACTGCTATGCTCACCACGTTTCGATGACATTTCGCACCTTTTCAGCGAAGTCTCACCAAACTCTTTCCTCGCCGCATTCCGCCAACCACGTCCCACCTTTTTTTCTCCTCATTTGATTACAGTTTGAATATTCATCACCCCCATTACCCCGTGGGGGACATGTGAACAGCGTTGTATGGGTTATCTTGGAGCTAGGCAGATCCTTTCTCGTTTGTTTTTGTTTTCCTCTTCTCCCACATAAACTGGCGTTTTTCTTGGGTGGCATATGCATGGCAAGCCGTGCTTGCATTTTAGTTTTGGAAAGTTGTTCTTGGGTAATATTCTTTTTTTCTGAAATGGGTCAATGAATAAATCAAAAGGCTGGGAAAATGGGAGATATCGTCGAGAAGCATGATGATCTTTCTTTTTTTTTAGTGATGCTCGGCAAATTCAGAAATGAAATAACTCCAGATTGCACACACACACAACATGTTTCTTCCTCGTAAGGTTGCAAAAGTTCCCGACAATCCCGCGCCTTCTGGCTCGTGCACCAAACATTCTGGAATAATCCAAAGAACGCGACATCCCACAGAAGCATGTCTCAGAAAGCCATGCAGCCCCCAAATTCTCAAATGTCCCAATCTGGAAAGTCCTTGACACTAGCATCGGAGCGCCCCCCCCATCATCCACCAGCCGATCTTCTACATACGTTTCCTCCTCTGCACGGCTGGCCCGCCGTCTGAGTCACTTTCCGCGAACCAGACAACTAAACCAACCGACCAACCAAACAAACCAACAAATCGTCATCTTTTTTTCTTGTTTTTAACCTCCCCCCCCAGCCCTCCTTTATCAAACCACCCACCTTCAATCCTTCCAACAACCCGAAACCCAGCCTGGCTCCTCACCACCCAAGGCCCCATCTACAATCTTCCATCCCTTCCTCACCTCCGTCTACCACGCCTTCTTTTCTTTTCTTTTTTTTCAAGGCTCGCTTCGCTCGACATGGGGCAGGAAAATCTAAAACTAACCACTTAAATTTTTTTTCATTGATAACTATACTTTGATGCGAAGGAAAAGAATGGCGCCTTTGGGGGCTGGGGGGTTATACAAAACATGGCTGCGTAGGGACAGTTGCGTGGGATGCGGCATCCAACTCGTCTGAAAATCTTGAACCGTAAAGAGGGCTTTTTTTGGTACAAGAAAAAAACATTTCTGAGCTGGTAGTGTGGAAACCCAGCGTGCAGTTCATTCCTCGTCGTCGTGGCTCTGGAGGTAGCATCATTTGGGTCACAAAAGCGTCTCTGTCCCATTCATAGCCAGCATGTCGGGGCAATGCACTCCGTTGCACAACGAGATTTGGCACATATTTTTTTTTGCCCTATATACCTTGCATAGACGCAGATACGCGGCCCAAGTCATGGCCATATCAGCAAGCATGCACAATTAGGAATAGATACAAGGCTTGCCGTGTCAAGGTCTGCAGTGACTCAGTGGTCTTCTATTACTTATACATTATATAAGGGCTTACGTGAATTCGTATTCACGACCCGTAGAGTACTAAATCTAAAACATAAACCAAAACTTGTAAATGAAAACCGCCACACATTCTTTTTTGCTGTCCCATGAAAGAAAGGCGCTTCAAAATACCTCGGCTCCGTAAATGACAAAAAGGTCGATAGACCTATATTTAGAAAACACAACAAGACGCAGAAACTTCTTAATAATCATCTCGCAAGAAAAGAGAGCAAAGTTACGGGCGTCCCCCGTACACCAACCGCCCCTCGCGCGTCCAGCCCTCATCCGCGTATCCCGGCGGCGGCGGTCCCACATGCCGCGGGTGCGCCTGGCTGCCGTGATACCCCCGCGGCCACGCATGCGCGTACTGCTCGTGCTCCTGCCCGTAGTGGTGTGACGGCGGCGGGCCCTGCTCATACTCGCGGCCGTAGCCAGGAGGCGGCGGGGGGTGGTGCTGATATGACGCATCGTGGCCCGAGCTCAGTGGCCGGCCGGGCATGGGCGCACTGCGGTGGTCGCCGGGGATGTAGTCGCTCGCGGACCGCCAGTGGTGAGGACGGGCGGGCGGGCCGTGCTGCGCGGCGCGCGGGAAGCGGACCTCAAACTGGGCGCTGATGGGCGGCAGAGATTGCGGGCCATGATGCGGCGGTCCGCCGCTGAGGGCGTAGGCGCCTTCGCTGCGCGCCGAGTGTGGCGACGACTCGTGGCCGTCCCAGCGGGCCGGTCCACCCGGCAGCTGCTGCTGGCCCGGATAGTACGAGTCGGGCGGCGACGCCGTTCCGTAATTGTAGCTGCCGCGGCGGTACTCGGGCGGCTGAATCCGCGGCACGACGACGTTGGGCGCGCGCGCAGCGGCCTGAGACGGCGGCTGCATCTCGCCGTACAACAGCGCAGACGCTAGCGGGGGCAGCTGCGCAGAGTCGGGGCGCGGCGGCCCGTACGGCGGCCCGCCGTGGACGAGGCGAGCGCGCTTGCCCGAGGGGCTCACAACGTCGTAGCTTTCCTCGCCCATGTAGTGGGCCTGGTGATGATGGTGGTGAGGTGGCGGCGGGTAGTATGCGCCTCCCCGACTCGCCGAGTAGACAGAGTCGCCGCGGGCAAAGTCGAGCGAATCGAGAGCCTTTCGCTTGGGCGTCCTGATGCCGCTGCCGCTGCTCGAGATGCGGCTCTGCCGACGCCCATTGCGAGAAGACTTGGAGCCGGCACCAGAGTCAGCTTCTACAATATCCGGGAGAAACTCAATCTCGGGCACCTGCGCCAAGAGTCCATCTTTGATTTCCTTGTGTAGGCGGTCGGCCACGTCGAGAATCGCCTCGGTCGTGTAGCCCGAAGCGACGCGTTGGATGAGCCACTCAGGCACGGCGGTACCTGCGGTGCTGCGAGCATCGTGAACGGCCGCGTCTTCGACAACGCCACCGCCACCGTTTTCGATGCGGCTCTGCTCACGCTTGCGCAGAGACAGCGTCCACATGCGGATGTAAGCGCCACTGCTCCGCTTCCTGTTTTCCTCGCTCCAAGCCTGCAGACGCATGATCTGCAGCTTGACGAGCTCCATCTGGTTGAGAGGATACGTTTTTGCATTGCGGTACCGGATGCGCTGGTAGTGCTTGCGGCAGTAGTACACCCACACATGCTTGGGGATACGCAGCGTGCACGCCTTGTTGCGTCCAAAGAGATGGGAAATGGCTTTGCGGAGCTGCGAGCCCGTGTCGCAGTCCTTGACAAACATGCAGTAGGCTTCCTGGTCCTGCTTCAGCGAAGCGCCATTTTCTGTCGCCCCGGAGCTGCGGCGCGAGCCCTCGGCAGGCTGTTCGACACTGGGCGGTAACGACGCACTTTCCGAAGTGATGGGCTGCGCGGCATGGCGTGGCATTCTGGCCACGGAGCATTGAGCGATATCTGGCGCGGATACGGTTCGTTTGTGCATTCTGGCCAAGTTGCTATTAGCTTGAAATGATCTGCTAAACGCCATTAGTATAGAACAATGATGCCTCGTTGAAACAAGCTGTTGAAACGCGAGTCGCCAGCGCCGGCTTGGCAACCTGTCAACAGCGCCTGCCTGGTAGATGGCATAGCATGCTCAGCCACCTGTAGGTCTCAAGTGCCCGGAACTGGGTCATCCTTTGCTGTCTTCGACGCGCTTGCCCTGTTTGGCAATTGCCAATCGGTTTCGTGGTGTTGGGACAGAATACTCACATTTCATCATCAGCCTGCGAAGTGGATTGCGAGTCTTCTTGGCCTGCCATGCGGTCGAGTGAATGACCCCTGCCGTGCAACGCCGCGCCATTCACGGATTGCAAAGCGGTGGCCGTTGTTCTTGAAGGGACACGCGAGTGTGATCTCGATTCAGATGAGGCATGGAGGGGCTGGCTGCTATGGCTGGCTGGAGCCAAGTTCCTTGGTTCATGCCCCCCATGTTCAGCATCACTTTGATCTGGAGAAATGAAGGGCCTGCAACTGTTAGCCAGTGCTGATGTCGAGAGACAGTTGACGCATACTTTGTGACTATTTTGTTAAGTAGTGTGGGTTTGCATCGCGGTGATCTAGTTCTCGTTAGGAACCATGTGCATGTTGAGCCCGTGATACGTACAATAGGATGCGAGATGGTATAGTGCGGGGAGAATGTGAGGCGGAGACTTCTGCCGAGCATATCGAGTCATTTCTTGAGCTGTTGTAAATACCATCCTCGCTCTCCGTTTCGTTGCGTCCATCGGCCTGATACGAAAACACAGAGCCCGACCGTGCTTTCGATTCCAGGGCCAGTTGGAGAGAGTATCCTCTCGCTCCCCAAAGCGACGAGTCCTGGCGAGGACTTCTTTCGTATTTTGCAGGCCCTAGTGTCCGCTCTGGCGATGGCGTAGGAAGCGCCGAAGAAGGTACTGTGTGGCCACTTTCCGTAATGGCCGGCGATGCAGATGCTCTTGAAGGTTTTGACGAGCTGCCGGATGCTGCTGTGTTGAGGAGCGAAGTCACATCCATTTTGACGCTGGGTCGAGGAGTGTGGAAGAAGCGTGTCGATGCAATATCCAAGAGAGATGAAACGATGTTACGGGTATCTGTGGTGACCAACTATATCCGAGTGTAATTAATTGTCGAGACTGAAGCTGAGAAATGTTGTCCAGCCTGGGCAATAGAAAAATAGGAGTGAAAAGGATAATGAAAGGGCAAAGAGAGCTTAGTGGCAGAGGCTGAAGTTGATAATCCACCGAGCTGACAGTGTACTGAAGAAAACCAGCATGCAAACAGCCAATATGCAGCACCGATATGGAACAAGGAACTGCTTGGTCAGAAACGGGCCATCCGACGTATTTGATGCGATCGGCGGGTGCCCAGGAGATCTCACGCACTGACTGCTAAATGGTCCCAGAGGAGATCGAAACAATCCGACCGCTTATGCACCAGTACGTCTGGGACGACAAGGGCGCAATAAAGGTTTCTGTATGCCCTACACGTGGATTGTTATTTCTTGCTCTGGGGCCCAGTCTTTGCAGGACCGAGCGAAACAAGACGGGCAGCGCTCTCCACAGCTTGAGCCACCAAGGTCTTGAAACAGTAGAAAGTGGCTATGCGTGACAAGGGTTTGGAGATGAAGTGGAAGGAGAGTGGAAGAAGGGATTAAAGGGCCCCTGTGCAGGCTATTTTTATCACCAGCACCGAGATTTGAGATGGGGTACCAGAGTCTCAGGCACTCTGAGACAGAATTGTCACGTCGAAGTGCAGCAGACAAGAGACAAATGTCCGTGGGCAATGGAGTAAAGAAACGAAGTGGTCAAAAACAAAACAGAAGAGCGTCGGGGAGGGAGGCTGAGGAATGGTGCAAAGTATATCCCTGTTCGTTCAAGGAATCAGTAGGATGGTCAGCCTCGCATAAGAATCAGTGGAATGATGAGTTTTTTCGATGTAAACTTCGTGGAGAAAGAGCATAGGAACACAACAAAGTGGGCCAGGCTCGGTTCTCGACTTGTGGTTGCAAGGACAGCGCTGACTTGTATAGCTTTGTGAGATGTGACTCGGGTAAGAGAGACAAGGGCTTTGTGCAATGCAGTGCCAACAGCATAGTTGATGAACCAGCACCAGCGCGGGAGGGTGGCTGCATAGCGGGAGACCATGGGCAGAGCGGAAACACTTTGACAGCACTAGTATTCCACCCCCAGCCGCAATGACCCTGGAGGGTAGGATGCGACACGCAGCAGAACGAAAAGTGCTCCTGTACCAGCTTGCAAGCTTGCCTGCCACATCATGAGCATGTAGCGGGGGTTCTCTAGCGATGACTCGCGGTAGTCGGCAGTTCGGGGAGCAGGGTACATCCCGGGAAAGCATCATTGATGTGGATCATTGTGAATACACGGGGGGGTTCGCTTCTAACCACTTGGTCTGTACCAGTATGATCTTTAGAGGAGCACGGACTCTTTGTATTCTCCAATCTCCTGCATCATCATGCGACGACGAGCGGTTAGAACTCGCAAAGAGCAGAACTGGGATGATGCAGGCAGACGAATCATGAAGACACAGATCAAGAAACGCTCAATCCCCGAGAATCGTCCTACATTGACGATGGCTGAAAGGGGCCAGGATTGCGCTGAAATGCCACAAGCCGCGCGGGCTGCTGGCGATGTGTGTTGCCATTGGGGGCGGAGACAAAGGGAGGGCGAGATGAACCTTGTGTTGTGATTTCCACGCATCGTACAGATTACAAACCCGAAAGCATACGGTCAGATGGTGCAGCTATCGGTGAATCTCACGAGCTGACCCACTGAGACTGCCCATACTCTTGCACATGGGACGTGGCCGAGGCGGGAAGAAGTTGGGCCAAGGGGCGTTGATAGGTTGCCACAGCAAGTTGGTCCAGGTAATCGCACCATGCGGCTGGGCCAAGTGGGAAGGGAGACGTTGAGCAGAAAGTTTACATTCGGAAATGTGTGGAACCAGGAACCATGCATGGATGCGTGGGGACAGAGTCGAGAGACTGATAATGTCGAAGAGTGCATCAGTGCAAGGCCATGGGGCCCCCTCCCCCGGCACCCTTACACGGCAAGTGGCCTGTGTGTATCCGTCCGGACCAAGAGAGGCTGTATAAAGCGTAAAAGAGTAGGGATGGTAGGTCAGCGTGCATCAGTGAGTTGGTCGACGTCCATCGCTCGGCCTCGTCCAACAATCCGTTTTGATGACTGCAGGTGAATCGAGACTAGCACCCAACTGGAACACCCCGTTGGCCAGTTTCAGAGCTATCCAAGCAACTCGCTAGTGGCCTGGTGTTTGTCGCTTTGATACCTGATCCTGCTAGCTAAGCTTGTGTTCAAGGAGGGAGAAGCAGACTAATGTACAACCCAGCGCAATACTCGGCCAAAAGTCTGCGTGCGGTGCCTCCATGGCTGTCTTGCGGCTCCCACGCGGCGGCATTGAATCAGTGAGGATGGGGAGAGAAGGGGGGGGGGATAACATACCAATCACTGCTCTTAATCTCCACCACAGGCTCCAAGAATTCCAATAAATTCAGGGTTCGTAGGTTGGTAAGCACCCAGGCAGGAATGCACCACCAGCTGTTGAGCCTTAAAGTTGAGTTTGATCTAGTGACCTGCGCAGTAAATAGTTCAGCCCACATGGACCGACCAGGGAGAATTCGTCGCGTGGCAACACGCCGGACTCCTTTTTCATACGGTGATGAGTGGATGAATCGCAAGTAACTTTGCTCTAGTTGCTTGCTGTAACGGCAATCACAAACACAGAGCCTGAGAGCGCCCGGCCATAAAACGTTTTGTCGACGTGTCGAGTTGCTGTTTCAAAGGTCACTAGCCGGGGATGAGGCCGCGCGAGATGCCTCGGCACCACCGCGGCCACCGGGAGCAAACAAGAACAAAGCCAAGTCGATATCGACGGGGCGTGCGCAAAATTGACAGTGGACCGAGAGCCAGTAAAAGTAACCCGCATCACAAAGAAAACAGGTTGGCGGATGTTTCAGTGGGCCCGAGAGGCTACGAGATATACCGATTCGAGTTTCTCGGCCGTGAAAGAGCATGACCATGGACGAGATAGCTTTTTGCTTGGATGCCAGGCCCCAGCAGACTCCCGCAAGTCTCGTTGAGCCGTGGGAGAGACCATTAAGAGCACGCGGGGGGCGTCTCCAGCGTGCGGCTTGGCGTGATACAGTGCTTGCCTACGGGCGTGTGAGAATCCATCTATGGCGTGTCACTGCCAGGATGGACTCGATGGGCCAAAATAGAGTTTCTTGAAGCTGCATGGCGCTTTTCTCGGACGAGGTTAGTGGGCGGCTCGAGCCCAACGTCACATTCAGGTCCGCAGCTACGGGGGAGAGAAGGAAGTTGTGCACCCCAACCAGCAGGGAGCCAGCGCGGCGGGCCAGCAGCCTTCTGGTCCGGTCTTTGCTTGCTCGATAACTTCGTTGGTGGGCGGGCGGAAATTGATGAGCGGGACAGTACGCAAGTCCGGATCATCCCTTCCCCCCGTTGTTTTCACCGGTGATGGCGCGGCGGGAGCTTGCCGCAGGGTGGCCTGGGCATTCTTCTTCATGATCCTAATAATCGACGATCGATGCTGCAAAGAAACACACAAGAAAAATATAGTTTCTTATGCGCCGCGCCGCTGCTTCATGCTGCCGAACCTTCGTTTGTTACCTCCACGCTTCCTAATCGGCACCGCCGTTCGTCTGTGGTGTGAGAAAATGCCACCTCATCGTGTCAGCGAGTCATCCGTCGTGGCTTACCGATTGCAAACCCACGCGAAGTAGGTATTGGCTTTTCGAATCATTAGCGGCTGCCTGCGTGGCCCACGCCGCGTTCTGCCTGCCCTTGCCTAAGTTGATGTGTCGCACATTCGGAGCCGGCCAAGTTGGAGCGGGAAGCCGGAACGAAAGTGGCTCCGTTTCCGAGAATCCCCATGATTCAATCTCCAGCCAACTTAGCAGCGATACGATGCAATGCCTGCCTCTTTATCGCGATAAAATTCATCGTGACTCGCATGGTCCGTCATAAACCCCCGCTGCATCGCAAGCACTTTGAAGTCAACCTTGGCCAGCCGTGCTACCGATACGTTTGTCTGCGCCTCGCGGGAGTGGCGAGCACTGGCCCGTCCGCCCTCGCCATCTGTCGCGATCCATCTGGACGCCCGATTTCTTCGCCCTTCTCGCCTGCCCGACCCATACCGGCACAAAGCAAACTCGCAAGATCTGGACCTTGGCGTCGGGCTCATTTGCTTATTTCATCTCCTTGCAGCCTGACCTGTCCATTTACGGCCATACCCGGGACAACAGACACAACCTCCAATCGGCAGTTGCGTCCAAGGACTGACTATCACGTAGAGATACAGAGGTCAGAAGACAAAACACTGGGCCTTCCGATACCCTTGCTCATCCTTGCAACCTTGTTGAAATACGACAGACGAATTGCCTGACGCACGCGCACGCTGTTTTCTCTGTTATAAACTAAGCTAAAGGTGGTAACCCATGTGCCTAGAACATCCATTGTGTAGGTTGGCCCAACAGTGAGTGTCATGGCTCCCACCGTTTTGCAATCGTGATGTGATGGTGAAATGCCATTTTCAAAGACACGGAGGCTTTTCCTGCTCCAAGTGGGGGAAAATGCATATATGTCAGGCCTTGCTTTTGGGTCCTTGCGGAGATCCCTCTTTTACCAAACACTTCTACAAAGCTGCCCCTGTTCTAGTCTTGTGACAGAAGATTTGTACGGCTCTTTCAAGTTTCATCCCATGTCCTTAGCTTACAACATGTTTACAACTTGCGACTTGACTCCTGAGAGATCTCGAAACTAGTGTTTTTATTTACCATTCTATTCAGCCTTGGCCGTACAAAAAGCTGCCCCTCGTGCGAAGTCGACCTTTTCTCCGAGGGCTCGGAATGATGATGAGAGCATGTCAAATCTCCACCGCCCTGTTTACTGGTATTTACTAGGCCAGCTGCACATTTTGCGTTACCCATACCGGTGTGGCCGTTGTTTATCCCATCAGACGAGTCCCAAATGGGCAAAAAGGTGGCTGCATGTCTTGCCTCTTAGCGTCACTATCGGTTATTCACCCATGTTTTGGCCGTTTTTAATCAGAAAGCAAGAGAGGGTATACTACCACGCCTCGGCACAACGACAGGCACATTCGATCCTCATCGTCAAATCTTCCCGACACTCCCTGCCAAGCCTCAGTCTGAAGTCCTGTATTGCATGTGCTCTCCGCCTGGCCGCCGCTCGCTTGATCCTGCCCGAGTCCCAGGTCACCGCTGTGCTTTGACATACCCCTCCAATTTCCACGGCGCACCAGGGCAGCCTTTTTTTAGAATCAGTCTCGATTATCCTATTCGAAACATTTGCTCACACGATGCTAAAGATTTTTCGACGCTTCTTAGCGTCATAATGTACAGTACACATGTGCCAGATTTCTTCGCCATCACTCCCGAGGTTCACATCTGCAACCTCTACAAAACCGTGCTATCTTTCAACCCCGCGGGGTACTTGCATCGCCTGCGGATTCTCGGCAGTGTCTGAATCATGATATGCATTGCTACTGAATCTTACACGTCGACTGGGGTGAAGCATTCTGGCATAGTCAGCCGCTGCCCAAGAGGTCCAGTGCGATCCCGGACCTTGAGATATTAAAATAGTAAGAGGCGATCTTAATTGTAATACTGGTACATATCCCCCCCTCCTTTAACCCCGTTGACCCTCTAGCCTTGGTCGTAGCGGGCAGTGGGTTGTAGTTCGGCAGACTCCACACCCGCCATTTCATGTGAACAGACGAAGACGATCTTATGATTACGGGATACTGAAAACAGACGTGTAATAAAGAGCCCGGCTCCGTAACAGGTTTTTTGGCTGTGGTGGGCGCCACTAAAATCTCGTCCCCAGAGAGTGAAACACGTCCATGACTCGTGGACAGCCGCACGCCAGAGGAAAATGAGGCCACTTCGCAAGGCTACATTAGTGCCCCGGCGCGACATCGAATGCGATGGCCAATTAGGACAGGGCAGGAAATATCACGCAATGGCACCTCGCTTCTGGCTTGTTTCTACGCAAGTACGGACAAACTTAGACTGCAATAATCGGTGGTGGTTTGGAACAAGTACACCAGAGGTTGGCGGTGTCTTCTTCCACCCCGAATGTTTCAACTCGTGGTTTGACCTGAACGCACGCCGCGTTGACACCATCCTGAAAGTCCGAGAAGCTATTTGAAACACTGTCCGTATCAAGGTCCTCTGAGAACTGTGATTGAGATGACTTTTGTATTCCAAGTCCAAATTTCCTTCTCGTTTCGCAACTTAAAGTTATCACAACGCTTCCAGCTTATTCAACATGGCCAAGTGAGAAGCTGCGAGCCCCTTGATGTAACAGGGAATGCTCTCCTAATCTCAAGCCAATGATACTTTGATTGTCTCGTGTAACCAGTGCCAAACTTTTTCTTCATCACATCTTGCCTCGTCTCAAGGCCAGGATAGGCTTACTTGGATGAACCATACGTGAAAACCCGCCAAGAGAAAATACGGAGAAGTACAAAAAACGTCACTGCGTAGTTCGTGACTTTCGGTGATAGGGATTTCTCGGACTGCTCGAAAGACCAATGGTTCAACGCCAATCCCGTCTGACCCGAAGAAAAAAAAAACAAACAGCATGTGTTTTTCTGTCGGGGACGATGACGCGCTGTTACACTAAGTACTGATATAATCAATGCGGAATTGAGCGTCACCGTTCCGGTCCCAATGCCATGTGCTGGGCAGGCGATGGCCGAGACTCTTGACTTCCCACAACCTACGCATTGCTTGATTCGTTCCAAAGAAGAGAAAACAAAGAAGGACACCGTTGCATGCGGATCTCGCAGCAGCTACTGGGCGAAGATGGCGTTTAGGTTGTAATCTAAGTGGGGCAAACGGTCAAGCCTTCTTAGGTCTAATTAAGACGACTTTGGTCTAGGTAGTTCCTGTAGCGGAGTGGTTACCGCGTGACTCTTATAGATCAAGGGACTTCTTTTGGCTCTATGTTGTAATGTCAAGGTCCGGGGTTCGACCCCCCGCAGGAACATGCATTTTTGTTCGAAATTTCTTTTTTCGAGATTCAAATTTTTCTTTTGGCCTAGAAGATGCTGTTTTATATGCTGACTTTATTTTTTAAGCCTTTTTGGGTCTGGCAAGTTTGCAAAGCATTACCTGTGTGTGATGTCGACGCTCGTCGACACTCGGCTCCTGCGTCAGTGCTAGGTGCAGAAGGCGAAGGGCATCTCCAGGGTATGCCCACCGCTCTTGGAAACAATGTCATTCATGCAGCGATGCCATTCCCGAGACAGAAACAGGTCAATCAAAATTTAGGCGAAATGATGTGTAATACATTTGCTTGTCTAGGGGGATGGTGCAGTCCGCCAGACTGCAGCTCCAAACAAGCCAAAGCAAGTGCAAACGTCAGCCACCATCAGCACAATTCTCTAGCCGTGACGACTACTTCGGGTGCTTGCTTCCCGTGAACTCGTATGCGTCACAGACTGAGGATCTCGCGACATCAGATGTAGTCAAATCACCCCCACCCTGCAGATCTCTGCAGCTGTCAAACTGGTTTGACCGACAGAGCGTATAATCGATCTGGCACAGCCTTCCCGCAACTCTACGGGCCGGGGTTCTGTTTCACTGGATTCACGCTCAGCATAGCCGGCAATTAAGCAGCAGCAGTCAACTATCCACAAGCAACTGCCGTGATTCTCAGATGCCAAGACTAGATATACTTTTTGGACCGCCGTCGGATGTGTCACCACCCGAAGCAAGATGCCGCAGCCAGCCTCACTCTTGCGGCCCGGGCGGCAAGATCAAACGAGGAACAGCAGCTTGCCGACACCGATCAGTATCGTATAGTCAGCCCTCAAGGACCTATTGCGTATAGTTTGCGAAGTGGCGCAGGATGGTATGCTCGGTGTAAAGAGTGCTCACGTTTCACTGTCACGCAAACGCTGAAGCCCATGGTGTGTAAATAAGTTGTAGTTATTTGTATTTGACGGAATCAGCTAAATCAAATCATCTACTGCTTTATCAGCATCACTTTGTATCAGCTCCTTCATACCCTGCGGCCGTGTTAGCAATGATCTAAGTAGCTTGTGGGCTCAATTACCTCGGGCATGATGGGCTCCCCATCCGAGCCCTTGACGTATCGAAACGGCATCTCTGTGCTTTCATATTTGTTGAACTTTAGCTCGGGAAAGTCGAGGTAATCAATCTTGTCGAGAGCAACTGAACCGATTAGCTGACGCGGCACAGCCCAAACAGAAAGACGCCTCACCCTTGTCTTGAACCACGATTCTCGTCACACGAACGGCAGTATCAGTGGTCATCTGCTGAGGGCCCAAACGGCGTCCCTCAAAACCCTTCTTTCTAAGTTCAGAGGTGCGATCTACTGTTGTCAGTAATGCCATACACACGCAAAGGATGAAAACGCTGAACCTCTTGGCGGGTCATCGCCTGGGATATGTTAGCAAGTGCAAGGACATACGCTGTTTCTGGCTATGGAATCTCACCCAATATTCCACCAAACAGAAACACGTCAAAGTTGTCACCGTCCTCGGGAGACAAGTCCTTGGCGGCCGCAGGATCCAATAGGCAAACTCGGTTTCTGGTGTCCGCATAAAGCTCCTCCACACCGCGGTGCTCAGCCTTGAATGCAGGGCTGTTGGCTAGCGTGTCCGGAACCTTGAAGCCATCAGGCAAGCAAGACAGAATAAAATCGCTGTTTCTCTCATGGCTCTCCTTGGCGATGCACTTGTACTCGAGTTCTGACCAGGGACCAAGCTCGGGGTCGAGATGCTCGACGATGATGGTCTTTGCAGCTGAGGCCATCTTGTCTATGTGAAGGAGATCAGCTCCTGCGGCAAGTCTTAGCACCTTGCGCCGGAGTTTTGTTCTAGATAATCCTACTAGAATACTGATATTGGCGCTGTGAGTTGGACGATGCAAATCTGACCACACTAAAAAGAGACTTTGTGACTGGTGGAGCCCTGCACCGATCTTGATGAGGAACGTCACTGTCAGGGTGTCAGTGTTGATGTGACACCCTTGGTTGACATAGGACAAAGCTCAAGTCCAAATTCGATAAAATTCGACCCTTTTTCATTACATTTACCTGCCTCAATCTGAACGCCCACACTGCCCTCGTCACAAGAATAGATGCCAAAGTTGTAGTGCTTTAAGTGGGCGCAATGCTTGACCCCAGCTGAAGAAATGCCGCCCGAAACGGGTCTCAATAGCCACTTGTGTGGAGGACAATGCCACCTCGCCTCATTGGCAGGACTCAGCTGTCAGCGTCACGCCTCTACCATCACCATCATCACACGACATCTTCCCGCGCAATCGATAGCCGGGCTATTGTATCCAATTGTGCGCGATCATATCTATTTATTGCAAGATTCGCATAGCTTGCACTGACGCCGTCGTGATCGCCACGTGGGCGATGGCTTCCGTCGCTTCCATCCCGGGGCCTCGACGATGGCTGGCCGCAGCGGCGTTGACCCTTGGGCCACTGGCAGCCCTGGCGGACAAGCCAGCCGCCGCCGACTACTACGTTCACAACTTGCCTGGTGTCCCCGAAGACCAAATTCAGGTGAAGATGCATGCAGGGTGAGTCGCGCGCATGCCCAAGTCGTTGCCAAGCTCCGAAACAGACGCTGACGCAAGCTTCTGCCGCAGACACATCGAAATCAAGCCCGAAACAAACGGCAACCTCTTCTTTTGGCATTTCCAGAATAAACACATCGCAAACAAGCAAAGAACAATCATTTGGGTCAATGGCGGACCGGGCTGCAGCTCCGAAGACGGCGCGCTGATGGAAATCGGACCGTACCGAGTCAAAGATAAGGATACGCTCGTCGTAAATAATGGATCTTGGAACGAATTCGCCAACCTACTCTTTGTTGATAACCCTGTCGGGACGGGATTCAGCTATGCCAACACCGACAGTTATGTACACGAACTTACGGAGATGGCGAGCCAGTTTGTCGAATTTCTGGAAAAGTTCTTTGCCATCTTCCCCGAGTATAGCCACGACGATGTGAGTACTACGTCAGACACTAGGCCTTCATCAACTAACATCATCTAGATTTATATTGCTGGAGAGTCTTATGCTGGACAGTATATCCCCCACATTGCGCGAGCGATTCTCGATCGAAACAAGGATCAGTCGCATAAATGGAGTCTGCAAGGCATTCTGCTTGGAAATCCATGGATTTCGCCCAACGACCAGTATGATTCTTATCTGAAATTTGCCTTCGATAGGGGCTTGGTCGACAAGGACTCGGACACAGGCAAGCAGCTCAAAGCCATGGAGCGCACCTGTCACACCATGCTCGCTAGCGACCCTGGCAAGGTGGGCTACCCCGAGTGTGAGGATATCCTGACAGAACTTCTTTCGGTGACTAGAAAAGAGGGCGGCGGAGATCAAGAATGTATCAACATGTACGATGTCCGTCTTAGGGACTCATACCCGAGCTGCGGCATGAATTGGCCTCCGGACCTGAGTGCCGTCACGCCCTACCTGCGACGCAGCGACGTTGTCAGTGCATTGAACGTGAACCCCGAGAAAAAGTCTGGATGGTCAGAATGCAGCGGCGGTGTTAGCGGGGCTTTCCGTCCTAAAACCTCGAAGCCCTCGATCGACCTTATGCCGGGCATCCTGTCCGAGATTCCCGTCTTGATCTTCTCCGGCGCTGAAGATCTGATCTGCAATCATTTCGGCACAGAAGACCTAATTGAAAACCTGGAATGGAACGGCGGCAAGGGTTTCGAGGTGACTCCTGGCAACTGGGCCCCTCGTCGCAACTGGACCTTTGAGGGCACAGATGCTGGCTTCTGGCAAAACGCCCGCAACCTCACCTACGTTGTGTTCAACGACGCCTCACACATGGTTCCATTTGATTACCCCCGTCGCTCACGCGACATGCTTGACCGATTCATGGGCGTCGACATTAGCAGCATTGGCGGCGACCCCACCGACAGTCGCATCGATGGCGAAAAGGGTCTTGAGACTACCGTCGGCGGCTCTATGAACCCCAAGGAGAGCGAAGCGGCCGTCAAGCAGAAGCTCAAAGAGGCCAAGTGGGCCGCCTACCAGCGCTCCGGCGAGGTCGTCCTCGTCTTTGTTGTGCTCGGCGCCCTGGGCTTCGTCTTCTTTGTCTGGCGTCAGCGCCGCAAGGGCGCGGCGTACAGCGCCATTCGCTCCGAGGAGCCCATGGGCTCCAGCCGTCGCGTCGGCGTCGACGACATTGAGGCGCAGGAAGAGGGCATCGCTCTGCAGAGCAACATTCTGCCCACTGATAAGTACTCGGTAGGCGACGATAGCGATGACGAGGGCGGCAGACCAAGCAAAGACAGCGAGAGGGGCAAGCAGGTAAGCAAGCCCCATGATGAAAATTAAGCGCGTTGCTTTCATGTTAAGACGACATTCTTCTTGTGTGCTTTCTTGGATTGAGGTAAATTGGCACCGAGCAGGATACGGGAGGCTCAACACATTGCACGGGTCTGTAACATAGAATCAGAAACTGAAATCACGTTTATAAGTATAACAAAATATCAAGTAGATAATCTATCCCTCATTTCGCCATGCAACGCCCATCTTGTAGGGGACGTTCCAACATCCCCATGTATATAATAAAATCCATTTTGTGTCGATCCCATATCTTGTTTTCATCGGGCAAGACAATAAACCCGTTTAAATCCCAGAAGCCCAGTGTGGCATCAATGCAAGAAAACCCGCCGGTAGGTGGCAAAGAAAACGCCGATAAAATGCTAGTCATGTCGCCCTTTACAACTGCACGTCATTGTTGAGCAGGCGCACCTCCTCACCGGGCTTGAACGGCGGCAGGCCGATATAAGGGCAGCCGTCGCAGCGAAACGCGTCGCCGAGCGCGCAGTTGCCGCACGAGCCGACCTTGCCCTGGACGGTAAAGTCCACCTCGGCCAGGTCCTCGGCGGCGAGCTTGAAGCTGGCCAGCGTCTTCTCGGTCTCGGCGCGCTTGGCGGCGTCCTCGGCCTCGAGGCGCTCGGCGAGACCGCACGAGCAGTCCTTGCAGGCACGGCGGCGCTTGCCAGGCTTTGGCTGGCACTCGAGGGCTGTGTGACGTATCGTGGTCAGTAAATTTTGTGGGGAGGAGTGGGAATCCTGGATCGACCAGGGGGCGGTGGGCAACGTACGGATGTTGATGGGGCGCTTCAGGTCCTCTTCGGTCATGAGCGTCTCTTCGTCGATGATGTCGTCGTCGAGATCATCGCCAAAGTCGAAGCCGACGCCAGCAGGGACAGCGGGCTTGTTGGCGCCGCCGTTGCTGTTATGGCCGTTGAGAATGGTGCTGCCGACGGCGGGCGCCGGAGCCGGAGCCGCAGCGGGGGGCGCGTTCACTTTCTTCTTGCGAAAGCCGAGCTTCAGCGACACGGCGCCGTCGTTGTCGCCGTAGTCGGGCTTGGTGAAGCCGCCAGAACCACTGCCAACCAGGCCCGCGAGGACGGCCTCCTTGGCGAGCGGCGTGGCCTCGAGGTTCTCAGAAGCCCTCTCGGCGCGCAGCTGGCCTCGGGGTCTAAGTGAGTCGGCGACGGCGCCCACGACGGTGCGGTCCAACAGGCCGAGCGACTCGGTGAGCGTGGCAGTGGCGTCGGAAAGAACGAGGATCAGGTCGTACTGTGCACTGGGAAGCTTGACTACACCGGCGGACAGACGATCGAGCATCTGAAGATCGGTAATGGTGCGGTCATATTGTGTGAGGACGGTCGCGAGGGCGTCAGCGTGCGAGGCGAGGGACGGGGGGGCGAGTAGCAGAGCGCGCTGGCCACTCGAGGTCTTTGTGACAGCCTTGGTCGTGATGCCGCTGAAGACGGCGTCGTCGCTGGGGTCGATGGTGGCGATTAAGGGAGCCATGGTGTCGATGGTTGTCGTGCAGTGGCAAAGTAACGGAGCACGGCGTGGAGTGAAGGAGCCGAGGGGTGACAATGGGCTCTGTCGGGGTGCGAGCTTTGTCGTATTTGTCTTTGAAGGCGAGGGCTAGGGACGAGATATGGTAAATTCCGGGGGTCCCCTCTCGAGACGTGTATTTGTAAGGCTAACGAAAGAAATCGCAGCCGACCCAGAGATAGGTAGAGAGCCCAGCCCAGTCCAGTCCATGGTGGGATGGCGGGGTGTGCAATTTTTTTTCCGGCACTGTAGGCGGGGCGGGCATCTGGCAGGGACCGCACAGTGCAGATTGAGACCCTCACATGCTATTTTATTTACTGGGGCTATTGTTGGATTTCCGGACCCCCTCAACGGCAAGCGGTGCTTTGCGAGCCGGCCTCCGAAAGCGGCCCGGTCAGGGCCCTGCCAGCTGACCTATACCAGCGAGAGCATTACCAAGATGCGTGTGATTGTGCTTACTGTGTATTATAGCGCCGAAAGCATACAACGCTGACCTTGCGAGGATTTTTTTTCCATTCCATTACCTCACCTTTTATTGGTAGTGGAGGCGCTGCGGGCATGTCGTTTTGTGTTGGCGAGTCGTGTGCTCCGTGACCGCTTACCCTAAAAAGGGCACTGAAAAAAAATGTAGCCGATATCTTGACCCCGCCATGAAGAGAATCCGAAAGACGTGAGAAGGTGTACAGTTGAGCCTTTTCAAAGGTTCCTTGCAATCGATTATTGGTTTTTCTTCGAGTTAATGTTTTTAGGCTTCGTTTTCATTCGTTGTGGAAGGCCATGATAGACATTACCTAGCAGATTGGACAGTACAACCCAACTAATCACGAAGATCATCTCCCCCCCCAGGCACTTTACGTCAAGATGTTGGAGAGCGTGCGTAAGCTTCCTCAGATTTGTAGCTCAGTTACAAAATGCGAGATCAAATGCAAACAGCAGGTTGCGTCTTCCGGCCCAGCAGCTCCATTGCCAGCTGTGCCAGCTGTAGCCGTCTCTTGCCAGCTGCCAGCTGCGTTTGCTCATAACAATAAATCTTCACCTTCAGAAGTCTCACCTTCATCCTCCTCCTCCAGCCTTTGTGTTTAATCAAGAATCGATCCTTCAGTTGCCTAGATCTGTACCGTCTCTGCTCTCACAACCACTCGCATCACCACCTGACCTCATTTACCTATCAACCAGCCAAGTCACCCTCGAGATGTCGGGCTGGGACGACGGCCCTACCCAGGTTGAGAGCGGCAATGCCATTGGCCATGGTGGAGGCTATGGGTGCGTTCTCCTATCTTGCCATCTTGCCATCTTGCCATCTTGCCATCTTGCCATCTTGCCATCTTGCCATCTTGCCATCTTGCCATCTATCATCCATCTAACAAGACAATAGGTACGACGATCAAAATGGTCCACCTCGGGACGACAAATGTTTCTCCTGTGGAGAGGAAGGGTGAGTTCCACCCTCAAATTTCACACACCTTCTTCTCTGACGAATATCTAGTCATCGAAAGTTCGACTGCCCAAATGCCGCGCCAATGACATGCAGATATTGCAAGGAGCCGGGACATATGGCCAAAGAATGCCCAACAAAGCCGCCCATGAGCTGTGACAACTGCGGCGAAGAAGGTACGAGGCCAAAGCGTGTCCAACATTACACGAGCTAACATACGTAGGGCACTTGCGTAAGGATTGTACCAATGCAAGGAAGATCGACCGCAGCGGCGTCGCCGACATGGCTGCTGAGCTTGCTTGGGACATGATCAAACGTGCAGCGGCTGAGCAAGATGCCAACGATGCGAAGGAAGGCATTCAGGCATATGTGAAGGCCCTGAATGGCGGGATCACATTCCGCGAGCTCCAAGAGGCGTTTATTCACGACAAGATCAATATATGGCTCATTGCCACGGAGAGATCGTTGATCGAGATTTTCACCAACATGGATCTGCAAGGCAACATGGGTAAGAAGTATACAGTCACGTACAGGTTTTCGGAGAAGCCCCAGCGGCCCCGAGACATTGAGGGCTGGCCGAAAAGCGTCGATGAGATTCTGGCCCGCCTGGACGACGCAGGTGATGTCGTCGATACTGGAAAGCCCAAATGTACCAACTGTGACGAGCTTGGCCACATAGCCAAGCAGTGCACGCAAGAGAAGGTTGTCCGTGAAGCAAAGGGACTTTCTTGCTATAACTGCGGCGCGGATGGCCATAGAATCCGAGATTGTAAGTCAGACCACCTCACACAAACCGCCAAACACTAACAAACCAAGGCACCGAGCCTCGAAAGGATCGCTTTGCATGCAGAAACTGCGGGTATGATCATTAATATTCGTGATATGTGGCATGATGCTAATCACGTTGTAGCAAATCTGGCCACAAGTCTGTCGACTGCGAGGAAGAGCCGAACCTTGACAACGTTACGTGCCGCAAGTGTGAAGAGAGTAAGCAAGCACTTGAATACGAGTAGAACACAGTATACTGATCTGAATCAGCTGGGCACTTTGCAAAGGACTGCCCAAAGGGCGGCGGCCGTGGCTGCAGAAACTGCGGCCAAGAAGGTCACTTTGCGGCCGATTGTGACCAGCCTCCAAATCTAGACAATGTGCAGTGCCGCAATTGTGAGAAGACGGGCCACTTCAGCCGCGACTGCCCCGAGCCGAAAGACTGTAAGTTATCTACAATGACTTTGAGAACTCTGAAGCTAACATGCAGAATAGGGTCTAAAGTCAAGTGCTCTAACTGCCAGGAGTTTGGACATACCAAGGTTCGGTGCAAACAGCCGCCAGCTGAGCAATCTGAAAATGACTCTGGCGGCCATTTCGATGGCAACACAGGCGACTCGGGAGGGGGTGGATGGGACAATGGTGGTGGACAGCCAAAGGACAATGGCGGTGATGGGAGTTGGGACAATGGTGGTAATCAATCGCAGAACTATGGCGGCAGCGCCGCCGACGCCTGGTAGTTTACCGCGACCGCAATTGCGTTCGAGCCTCGAGAGAATTTGCTCCCGAATGCAAACGATGTGCAGTAGATAGTGGGCTGCAACATGGAAGGCAAGGAAGTAAGAGGGAACTGCATACAAGCTACATGGATGGAATAACTACGAGTGCTAGAACGATGGTTTGAAAGAATAGGCAATGAAAACTATTCAATGACCTATGGCCTCTTTGGTTCCTTGACAAAAGGCCAGGAACATTTTCTCTTAAATGTTGCTGCTCGCCGATTCTTGCCTTGCCATTTCCTGCTCATCAGGTCCCTCGGGCTTACGAGGCGTGCCATTGCTGGTGTTGGCAGTAAAGAGTTTTGGCTTCGAGAAGCTTGAGAGCTACCATCTCTTCTCCCTACGCAAATCGGAGCGAGGCGATTGCTTGGCTTGTGAGGCTATCAAACCAGAGAAATTTACACACAAAGAGCCAAGCAAGCCTACGAATACGCGGGTGGCCATGCAGCTCGGGGAGCCAAGGGCCAAGATTGGGCGCGCCAGAGATCGTCGCGCCATGGCGCTGAGGGATTGGCTTAGCGGGAAAAAAGGTCCCATCTACTGACGTCACCAGGCATTTGAACTGTTTGATGAGAAGAAATTAGTGCCGGAAATGGAAAGTCTGCGCCGAAAGGCAGGTAGGGACACAAAACGAAAGGGAATGGGAATGTCTGGTTAATCAAAGTTATCGGGCAACTTAGATCAAAACTTGGCTGGAGTTGCAGGGAGCGAATGGGAGGCGCGTGGACAGGGCGGGCGGTGTGGGAAGCCAATGTGGCTTATTATCGGCGCTAGGAATATTCGTATGGTTCTTTTCTTCAGGTTGTCCGTGTCACGATTCGCGCGTTTCCAGGCTGCCATGCACTTGAGATAACGTGGCCGTGATTGTTTGAATCGGTGCGAAGGCTTTATCGCACAAAAAAGCATCGCACAGAGAATCACCTGGCCGCGGACTTGATCGTGCTCGAGACACGGAGGAGGAATGATGAAGCGGCGGGCGGTCCAAAGGGAGACAGAAGGTGCTCAGCCAAGACCCAAGGGACATGACAAGATATTACAGGGAGTCGGCCCAGTGAAGGAGGGTGGGTCGGGTACGGTCATCGTCGGGCACTGTGCAGATGGTGCCGTGAAAGGGACGACTGTGGTGGTGCAAGTGCCAGCTGCAAGTGCAGCAACAATGAGAGGACAATGCGAGAGAGTGGAATGTTGATTACTGCGATTCCACGAGATTTTTCATGAGGCCTGTGATCAATTTATCACGTGCGCACATGGTGACCTCGCTGCATCTCAGTCTTATATGTACTAATGCTGGGGTGGCTGCGCCAGCCGCCATTTCACACTGGGTGTGTGGCGCTTTTAGGAGCAAACAGGCTGCGGAAACGTGTCTGCGATGCAAAGGCTAAATGTTGGTAGGATGGTTGAAAAAAGACGTAGAAAATTAGACAGAATAAAGCAGTATGAACATTTTCACTTGAAATCATGAACGAACACGTATATTTACTGGGAATTGTTTGTTTGTGGTTTCACCACTGTTGGGAGAAAATCATCGAGTCGGCATCTGGAAATGGCTGGTGCCCCCGCACAGTGTGGAAGTGGTTTGTCAGCCCAAGCGGCGCGAACAGAGTGGCAAGTCGCGCCATCGGTACATGAATTACAGGGTCTCTTGGCGGGTAATTTAGGTACTCGAAACATGTACCCAGGTACCCCCAGGATGCATGTACCGTGTGTGTGTGTGTGATCCTGCTGCAGACCCCCAGGACCCGCCCGCCATTTTTCTCTCTTTCGCTCGCCTTCTTCCCTCCGCCCTGCCTCACAACGTCATCTCTGACGTCTTCACCCCAGCCAAACCAACTCTCTTTTTTCGCTTCCAACCTCTGCACATCCGGAAGCCCCAAGCCAGCAGTGCCGCCCCCCCCCGTTGCGAATGCTCTGCACGACGCTCCTGTTCATGTGTACGATATTGATTTAAACGCTTGGTTTTTGTCTCTTCTCTTTTATCTCCCTTGAGGCGCGCGCTGGAGCTGCCTACCGTGAGCCATCTTTTTTCTGCTCCCTGTCTGCCTGGGGTTGATTTTTTTTCCGCGTGTCATCACCGTGACTTTGTGTCCTGGAAGATACGAGAAAAAACAACCACCACGAGAAAAAAAAGCTATCAAAAATTACTACCGAGTTAGCGTCTTACTAAAAACCTTCTACGCCGCATTCTGCGACGTGTGTGCGAGCCGCATCCGCTTGGCCTTTTTTAACTCTCTGTTCCGCTGCCTTTTGCAGTCCCCCTCTGACCTCATCAATCCGACGTCGTCCTTCTGCTCCCACGACAGCATTCTTTCGCCTCTGGTCAAGTTTCCAACCCTTCCCCACACACACCCTCCTCTTGTCCAAGCCCACAATATAATACATCATCGTCATCATTTTTCAACATGGGGACTTCAGCAACTGACGTCTCAACTCGAGTTGAGTCGAAGTCCCCTACTATACGCTCTAAGAACCCCTCGCCGCCGCGTCAAGGTCAGTAACGTCACCTACCTATTACTTCATTTGCTTCTTCCTTCGAGTTATTCCCTCTTCCCGCGCGTCTGCACCATATCGCAACGTCTTTGCCTCGACTATCGCAATGCGCCTAGCCATTCCGGTAACGACGTCATAATTTGCACTTCATAGCCTTGCGCTAAAACACAACCGCGACCGTCGCGACGTCCCCAGCCATCATCACTTATACTGACCCTCATCCACCACAGACGTCAAGTCCGACTCGACATCCAAACCCGACGCTGCGTCCAATGCTGCACTCGCGAAACCTCTCGCGCCCCCTCCTCGACCCGGTCAACAAGGAACCAACACTCCGGACTACTTTGCGCCCCAGCCCGGTGGCTCTCTCAGCCTGGAGCCCAATCCCTTCGAGCAGTCCTTCGGCGGCGGCGGCGGTCCTGAGACGCCCGGAGGTACTAAGTTGCCCTCGGTCGCTTCATTGACTTCGCCATCATCCCTCTTGCCCGGGACCGGTTCAACGCCCTTCAACTGGGGCGGAGGCTCTCTTCGCACCGGTCCTCTAAGCCCTGCCATGCTCTCCGGCCCCGCTACCGATTATTTTACTGAAGGTCACCTTCGCGGCGGCTTTCCCACTCCTAACGAATCTTCGTTACGGTCTGGTCTCACACCTGGTGGCAGTGGTTCTATGTTCCCGGCCCCGAGTCCCAACTCCCAAGCTCTTTTTGCCCAACTCGCCAGCGGCGGTGCCACACCCAACACGCTCGATTTTCACCGCACTGCTTTGAGTGCGGCCGCTAAACGTGAACAAATACAACAAAATCAATCACATAACCAACAACAACCCGTGCAACCCCAGCCACAAGCACCTGCACAGCTGCCACCTACAACGCAACCCCAAGATATGACCAACGGCAGTACAGTTAAGGTCGAGCCCAAGCCTGCCTCCGGTCCTTTTGATGGCCACGATAATGACGCTGCCAATGGCCTCTACATGCTTGCACAAGGCAGAAATGGACCTCAAGGCCCAAACCCTTCTGTCAACCAGGCTCAACCTGCCGCGGCTAGTGCCCCCAGGGTAAACGGAAACATGGTCAAGCATGTGCGCGGCGGTAGTGAGATCACCAATGGCTCTGAGGAAAACGACAACACCAAACCCGCACGGGGTAAGGGCAAGAAGGCTCAAGCCAACAATCGTAGAAAGGCCGAAGAAGCTCCCGCAAAGGCCCCGCCTGCCAAAAAGACCAAGGCTGTCGTTTCGCCCCCTAGCGAACCCTCTGACATGTCTGAAGATGACGATGACGGTGATTCAGCCGGCAGGACCAAGATGACGGATGAGGAGAAGCGCAAAAACTTTTTAGAACGCAATCGGTAAGTTACTACCCGTCTCATCACCACAGTCGCAGGTCTCTAACAGACATAGTGTCGCCGCGCTGAAATGTAGGCAACGCAAAAAGCAATGGCTTGCGAACCTACAGACCAAGGTTGAGATGTTTAGCTCGGAGAACGATGCGTTGACCGCACAGATCACGCAGCTTCGGGAGGAGGTGGTTAATCTTAAAACTCTCCTGCTTGCCCACAAGGACTGCCCTGTCACCCAGCAACAGGGTCTTCAGAGCAGCTACATGCAGCCGGTGATGGAGGCTTTTCCAAATCAGATGAATCCTTATGGTATGACCGGGCCTATGGCCAATCAGCAGCAGGTCATGGCCGGTCAAGGGATTCCCCGCCGTTTCTCTTAAGCTGAAACTGGTCAACAAGGTGCTGCTGCTCAGTTTTGATGAGTCCGAGGGTCGTTCTGCAAAGAGCACAACTGAGCCGTTCCAGCCAGGTCTGCAGTTACCCGATGTTATCTCACTACCATTCGACACATGACCATGACCAACTACATCAGTGGCGAACAAAGATCAGGAGCGACATCCTCATAATTCCCAACTACCATCAGCGGATCAACCAACATTGTCAAACAATATGGGGCAGTCCGAGCAGATGGGGCAGCGGAGTCATCCTAGCAGCTGGTTCCAGTTGATCTCGCAATCTGATCAACTTCCGCCATCATGGCACGGCTCCTCACCAAAATGTGGAATAGGTTTTCTGTTACCTTAAGACACGCCCGATTCAGCGGCCAGATGGCCAGTTCTCGGAACGCTCGCGATCCGGGATTCATTGATATCTAACAACCCGCCTATTATCTTTCTGCTACGCAGCTATTCACCCCTGTATTACATGTTACATGATGAAGAGACGGATGACTTTTTCTATTTTCATTTAGGATGCCTACACTGTCGGTCAAAGGCATGTATGGGGCAGCTTTATTTTCTGCTATTGATTGGCTTGCTTTATTGTTGGTGGCGATGCTGTTGTCGCAATCTTTCTTGCGCGCACACCATTGATTGGTTGTTTTATATCCTTTCACAGGCCAAAACAGGCCGTATCAAAAGGAGTTGGCCAGGTGGTTCAGGCCTCGGCGTTGGGAAACGTTTGTCTCGTGCCTTCGGGCAGCTGTAAAAGACGCTGGATGCAGTATACGAGTAGTAGCTAGGCAAAGTGCTATATTGAATAGAAGGTACTTATTTTGCATTCGAGCAGAAATGAACGTAACAGTATGACGGATAATAGACAAGCCTAGCCTTCTGTCGCTGGCTGTCTAGGCCGGTAGAGGGGCGCTACCTAGAACGGACTAGCGCGTCGAGTGGGAATCGTCGCCCACCTCCAAAGGTAAACAATAACGCCGCCGCCTGCCACCACCACCACCACCTCGAAGAGAAACTGTTTTGCGATTCATCGGCCGCCAAAGCAAAATTTATCAAACGGCCAGTCTCTGTATCGAATAATACCATTTGGTACAGCGCTGTTGCGGGACCCTCATCTATCTTGTGCGACTCTTGAGGTGGGCCGACTGGTACTTTTCATCGACACGCGCCGGGCCGGACGCGACGACGCCGGCCGAAGAAACTCTCGCAAACGAATTCGCAAAGCGCGTACAGAAGGGCGGTCAGCGCCCACCGGATCCCACATGCAGCTGTGATAACAATCGAACATTACATCTTTTTATCCATGACGACGCTTGTGGCTATTCGAACATCGCCGCTTGACTTGAGCATGAGCAACCAACCCGACCGCCGGACAGGCAAGCGTCTAGCGGGTGAGCAACAAACCGAGCATCGCGCAACAATGGTGTTGCTAACTAGAGAGGACGCAGCCGCGGATGATTTGGAAATTGACGATGACTTTGTATTTACGCGCAAACCAAAGAAGGCGAGGACAGACGAGGTAACGGCGACGGCGACGGCAGCGCCCGTGAGGCGATCGCCACGACACAAGCCCGCCGCCGCAGACAGCTCCAAAACCACGACAGCCACGACAACAAGATCATCATCATCATCACATAAGAAGGCGGGCGCGGCGTCATCGCCATCGCGCGATGCGGACCGCAGGAGGAGGGAAGCGAATGCCGGACGCGCCGCCAGTAGCCACGACCCTAGGATGGACAGGACGACTCGACGCGCGGACGCGGAGCGAGCCAATAAGAGCAGCTTCCAGTCACCGCCGCCGCGCGAAACGACGACGATTACGCTGCCGACGAGCGACACACCGGTGATGGCCCGCAACAAGGAGATGCGCAAAAAGGCCGCCGAGGGCGCCTCGCAGTCGTCGGCATCTTCATCAAATGGCAGCGGCAACGGGAGTAATCACCGGCGCAGCTCGCTGGGGACGCGCGGTCGGCGGGCGAGCTCGCTGATTGAGAGCGGGCAGACGGCGATTCCTCACCGCGATCTGGACGCGCAGGATTTCTACAAACACATCGCGTCGAACGGGCTGCTGGAGTCGATGCGCATGAAGCAGTTGCTGACGTGGTGCGGCGAGAGGGCGCTGCCGGAGAAGCCAAAGCAGGGCGTACCGAGCACGGATCCCTCGCTAGGAGGTGCGTTGACATACGAGGACGAATTTTTCTGGTGCGGGGGAAGACATTGCTAACTGGTTTGTGATAGCACGCGCGATCTTGGACGAATTGTTAAAAGAGTTTTCGACGAGACCAGAATTTACAAACTGGCTGGGGCGGGACGAGAGCGTGGCGCCGGCGACGAGGATACTGAAGCCGAATCCCAGAAACATAGAGCTCGATAAAAAGAGGGCTTCTCTAGAAGCGCGAATACAAAGGTGGGCAACTCTTCTCGGGAATAGAGGGACGTGAAACAGACGGCTAACATGGGATTTGCAGACTACAAGAAGAAAAGAGTGCGTGGCTGTCGATACAGAAACCGCCTCCCGACCAGCCTCAACTATTCCCTCCCGATGCCGCCTCGCAAGAAACGAGACCAAAACTCCCACCGCAACTCCCCGCCCTCGACCTGCTCGACGCCGATGAGGGCCGCATCCACCGCTACCTAGCCGCAGAGCTCGAGCCACTGGAAGGCGTGCGCGCGCGCGCGCGGTCACGCCTGCAGGCGATTCAGGCGACGCTCGAGTTTGAGGTCGACCACCTCGCCGACAGCGTGCACAAGCTGGAGCAGCGCGTGCGGGCGGGCGGGCGCCAAGCGGACGCGGTGCTGCGGCTGGCGGCCGCGCGGCTCAAGAGGCGCGAGGACAGGGAGCGACGGGGCGCGGGCACGCGTGAGATGCCCATGATGGAGGTCCTGAGAAGTCTGGGCAGCTTGCTGCCCGAAGGAGGCGGAGCCGGCTTGTAGGAGGCACGGCATCTCGAAGACGTTGGATGGAAGGGGTTGGTGTGAGTAACGAAGCTGGGCTGAGTTGGCTGTTTCTTTTCTTCGGTTCTTCTTTATATACCCATCTGGGAAGAAAACAACGGGCATGGGATTCAGCGTGGTGCATCTTTTCTTTTTTTTTTTTTTGAAACTTGAAATTTTGGGGGGGCGCATATTGATAAAGAGCATACATGGGCAAGGTGTTCTTTTTTTCTTCCTTTATTTGGGGGTGCAGCAAAGCACAGAAAAGGCCAGCTGTGAGGGTCGAATCTCTCTAGCCTGGAACGTGTGCATCTTGGCGTTTTTTTTTTCATGGAACAAGGGACATGTGTCAGGGGCATAGGTTCAGGTATTATGTGAATAGATGAAATAGCGGCGTATAAGGCGCTGCCTTGTTACTGAAGCCAGTTTTGCAAGAAACTCGAGTTATTGTGGCGATGCTCGTGAAGCCTTTTGCTATTCTTGACAAAGTTCAAGTAATTGTAATACATCTAATTCGTTTTTCTATACTAATATACAGAGCTTTCTTGTCCGTGAATCGTTTTGTTAAACTCAGACCAAGCCACATCTCTAGAATGAGAGCCAATGCACATGTTTCCCGCTCTGCTCACGCAAAGTCCGACTCCTTGAGCGCCGGCATAAACGCCATGCCTTTGCCATCACCGCCGTCGACACTCTTGTCCCTCACATGCGCGCGCAGCAGCCGCAGCACGTCGCTGTCGCGCCAGCGCTCCGGCACTGGCCTATACGCGGGTTTAAACGTGCCGACAGTCTGCGCCCACTCGCCCTGCCCCGGGCTGCGCTTCATCACGACGCCCTGCTCGACTTCCTTGGTGGTGGTGGTGCTGCTGCCGGCACTGCTGGCGGCGGCGGCGGCGGCTTCCTGCACCTCCTCGGCCGTGGCGGCACCAGCCGAGGCGGAAGACGTGGCAACGGAGGGGTTGGTGGACGAGGAGGGCTCGTGCTGCGTGGCCCAGTAGTAAATGTCCCAGTCGTTTTCGTCGAGGAAGAGGTCGTACTCGGTGAGCTGCGCGGGCGTCATGACGGGGAGGTGCTGTGCGGCAAAGGTGGACAGGACGAGGTCGGACTCGAGGATGCCGCGCTTGCGGGACTGGTCTGGTTCTCGTGAGTTAGAATCGGGAGTCTTGACGGTGACGGTGGCGAAGAGCAGTAGTGAGAGAGAGAGAGAGAGAGCAAAGAAGGATAACATACAGAGTAGCCGCGCACGCTTCGTGGTGTCCGTCTCGCCGACGCGTCGGAGAGGCTCGACGCGGAATTGTGCGCCGTGTAGCTCGCCGACGGCGAGCTCACCCGTGGGCTCCTCGTCGGGGCGCATGCGAGGCATCTTGACGCTGCCGTAGGCGTCGGACGGCGTGGCGTGCAAGCGCGGAGCGCAGGCGGACAGGGCGCGGCGCTGCTGCGAGCGCAGAAGGGCGCGGCGAGCCGCGGGGCGGACGACGGAGAGGGAGTTCATGGTTTTTTTTTTCTCTTCGACGGAGTGGGAGGAATTCTCGTCGAGATGTGGCGATGGAGGAGTGTTGGGAGGCGATGGGGATCGAAGAGCCGAGGACCGATGATGGGGTGGTGGCGGCCTGCAAGACCCGCTTTCGCCCGTGCCGGGCAAGTTCCGGTGTTAGTTGCGACGCTGAGCGTCTGTCTATTACGAAAGTGGTCACTAAAGGATTGAGGTAGTTGGCTATTATCAAGAAAGTGCTACTTATTGTATGTGTGTCGTAGTAACTATTCTCCTGCATCAACAACTTCCCAGCAGTGTGCTTTGCTATCGGTTTCGACCAGGCAACCAACACTATCGACACAGAAAATCAGCCTTGTCACGTATAACTTGTGCGCTCTTCATTTGCTAAAATTTTCTTTCGATGTCTTTACGGGAAAAGAAATGGGAATTCAAGGAATTTATGGACGAGATACTGCTTCTTGACAGGACGTGCGATATACCCGAATTGGGGAGTATCCACCAATCAACAATGGGCTTGCGTTTCGATGCTGACAGCCCGTAAAGGTGAGCTAGGAAATGATATATGACGAACATACTATCGATGGGAGCTGAAACATGTCGTGTAGGTGCTACAAATTTACAAGATATAACAAAACCCTCACCTCGGGCAGCACCTGTGCTGTACATACAGCGCATCGTAGACGACAACGTTTATCGCGCGACTAATCTCATATTCACGCAAGAGAAAGCTCTTTCTTCAAGAAACTGAGATTTGTCAGTAACAAGGGAGTTCCTTGCCCTGAAAAATGGTGACGTTGTTTGTCAAGACAGAGCCTTGACAAGCTCGTAGCACCAACAGCTACCTATGGATCCTGATATTCTGGTGCCTGCAGGCAGCAGCTTAGCAATCGTCTTAAATCAATGCAAACGCGCCCATACAAGTTCTGGAAAACACAAAATCTACTAGACGTCCTTGTCAAATGAAACTTACTTTTGTCAGATTGTTGTTCTCGGCTGACGACTCGGTCTTGGCTTAACTAATACCAAACTGTTGGACTGCTGAGACGTCACAATTGCCCCTCTTGGTCGTTGCCCCTCCAAGCTCACCCCACGTTCTCCAAACACGAACCACGAACCCCCTTGGACAGAGCCAAACAATTACAGCTTGTCTGTGAATTAGCACTGAGCAAGATGGCTTCGCCCACGATTATCATTAGCAAAATTCTTGCTGCGGCTCCTGCCACCACCCGTGGCCAGCCCACGCAGCTATCTACAGACAGCAAGGGCCAGCGCATAGCTTACGCGGTCAGTACCCAATAGCTGCCCCTGAGTTACCTGTGTGGAGGGGAAGCGTCGAATTGGCTCTAACATGGTTCTAGTCTGGAAAATCCATCTTTGTCCGATCCATCGACTCGCCCGACGATTGCAAGGAGTACACCGGCCACACCGCCGCCACGACCGTCGCCCGATTCTCCCCCAGCGGCTTCAAGATTGCCAGCGGCGACGCCGCGGGCATTCTGCGCGTATGGGAGCCCGAAAGCATTGACAAGGTGGGCAAGGAGTACGGCATCATCTCGGGCCGCCTCAACGACGTGGCGTGGGACGGCGAGTCGCAGCGCATCATTGCCGTCGGCGACGGCCGCGAGCAGTTCGGCCGCTGCATCACGGCCGACAGCGGCAACTCGGTCGGCGAGGTCATTGGTCACAGCAAGGCTGTCAACGCCGTCGCCGTCAAGAGCCAGCGACCCTTTCGCGCGGCCACCGTTGGCGACGACGGCAACATGGTCTTTTATCACGGCGCGCCGTACAAGTTCAATGCAAAGAGCACCCAGCACAAGGGCTTCGTCTTTGGTGCCGCGTACTCGCCCGACGGCAGCGCGCTGGTCACGGTCGGCGCGGATAAGCGTATCCAGCTATACGACGGCAAGACAGGCGAGCCTGGAAAGGAAATTGGCGAGGGTGGACACACTGGCTCCATCTTTGCCGTCTCGTGGTCGCAGGACGGCAGGAAGATTGCCACGGCGAGCGCAGATCAGAGCGTCAAGGTCTGGGATGTGGAGTCGGGCAAGGCCACTTCAAGCTGGAAGTTTGGCGACGGTGTCAGCGTTGGCGACCAGCAAGTCGGCGTTGTGATCCCGCATGGTCGTAGCGATGGCTTGATTATTAGCTTGAACTTGCGAGGCGAGCTTACATATCTGCAAGAAGGCAAGGATCAGGCTGTGAGAGTGATTCAGGGTCATGACAAAGGCATTACTACCTTGATCCGCACGTCGGACAGCCAAGGCACGGAGTTGTGGACGGGCAGCTTTGACGGCCGCATCTGCCACTGGGACATCAAGACTGGTACCGCTGCTGCTGTCGACGGCCAGTCCCACACAAATCAGGTTGCCCAGCTGGCTGGCGCTTCTGGCAAGGTATACAGTGCGGGTTGGGACGATACCTTGAGAACAGTAGACGAGGCTGCCAAGACGTTCCTCGGCGAGAGCGTTACCTTGCCTTCCCAGCCCAAAGGCGTTGCGGTGGCGGGTGGCATCATCTATGTTGCCACGACATCAGGTGTCGCTGCTTACAACAATGGAAAGTTGGTGGAAGAAACGTCTACTGCGTATACACCCGGCGCCATCGCAGCCACCACAGGCTTCGTTGCCGTCGGCGCGGACCAAAACTCGGTCAAGGTGTACAAGGCCGATTCCAGCGGCACGCTGCAAGAGGTCCAGAGCCTCGCCAACTCGACGGGCACCATTTCTTCGCTTGCCTTTTCTAAAGACGGTGCACACCTGGCCGCGGGCAACACCGTCGGCAAGATTTACGTATACAAAGTTGGCGGCTGGGAAGTCGTCGCCGACCGCTGGTCGGCGCACACGGCCCGCGTAACTTGCATCGCCTGGGACGACACGGGCGCGTACGCCGCCAGCGGCAGCCTGGACACCAACGTCTTTGTCTGGTGCCTGGACAGTAAAAACCAGGGCAAGCGCATCAAGGCGGCCAATGCCCACAAGGACGGCGTCAGCGGCGTGGCGTGGATCGAAGGCGGCAAGCTTGCGAGTGCCGGCAACGATGCAACCGTAAAGATTTGGGACGTGCAAAACTTGCCATGAAATATTTTCAGCATTTGAGAAAACAAAGCACATGAATAAAGATTAGGCAGCTAGCTTGAAAGTAAATGAAATCAGAAGTTGTACTCATGTCGGGGTATCAAGTTGACGCTTTGTTGCATCGAGTTATGTAGTCAGATACGTCATCAGAAGATGTGCCTGCATCCTCTAGTCGGTGGCCATTTGCTGATTCTGCTCCTGCTGCACCTCTTCCGGGACAATATCCCACAGTCGAATCGCCGGCTTGCCCCCGGTAGAGATGGCGTGAGGGGGATTGCGGCTTTGGTTCTCCTCCAATAGCAGCTTTGCCTTATCGACTGCTTCTTTGAGATCGAAAAGTCTGAATGGCGTGTTGGACGGATGCATCTACCTGCGTGATTGGGGGGCACATACTCTGCTTTAGCCTGTGTTGCGTAGCCCTCCTTGGCCAGGTGCTTGGCCATTTCGGTTTGGTGGTCGTCTAGAAGATCCGTGTTTGGGACGACAATCATTGGGACATCGAGCCTCCATGCATCCAATATAGTACCCGTGCCTGTACTACCATTAGCGTTTGCATGAGCTGTCCGAGCCTCACTCCCACACACCAGCGTGGCCGATGATAAGGCCTTTTGATCGCTCATCTCCCGACGCTTTACAAAGAATCATTTCCTCCATCAAGAGATTATTCCTTGATGCAAACGTCTGAATGGTCAGCGGTGCCGGAATCTCATCCTTTTGGCTTTCGACTTTGGCGGCTGCCCATGAGCTGTCCGGCCCGCACTGGACATGTAGTTCGGTGAAGCCGTGGTCGGCCAGGTGGCGCCAAAAGTCAGGCTCGAGAACTGCGGCCGTCAACTTTTTGAAGCCAACCGTGGCACCTACCGTCACCAGGCAATATCGTCTTGTGCCCTTTGCAGCAGCCATTTTATTCATTGAAATGGCTGAGATGTAGCAAGCAAGTTGGATGATGGATGTAAGTGACGTTGACGCCTAACAGCTGTAGGCGCTTGTGGTAAGCGTCGCTGCTAGCCGGCGTTTACCCAGATCATAGAAAAGGCTGAACTTCGGTAGCCCTGCTGCACCAAGGGGCCATTCGACCACTCCGCCGAAATTTTGAAGTTTCAACAGAGGGCTCTATTTCTTCCGCAACGTGCAGCACGACACAAAAACTGCCATTCGCGCAGTCGCTATAGTCAAGATGGCTTCCGCTCCCCGCGTCGCGAGGTTATGCGCCGCCGCCTGCAGACGAGCGGTACCTCAATTGGCACAGCACCGCGTGATGACCATGGCCGGCCCAAGGGCTGCTGTCGCATTCAGCACGAGCACGATGCGTGCCGCCGAGCGAACTTTTGACGGTGACGAAGGTGGCGAGAGCGCGCCTGTTGAATTGAAGGAGCTCGACAAGGCCTTTATGGACCGCGCCACCCCAGAGGGCTTGAGGCAGCTCGACCAGCTCGCCAAGCTCAACGGCCACAACAGCATCGAGGCGTACCTCGACGACAAATTACGCTACACGGCGGGCTTTTCGACGCAAGACAAACTACTCACAGACGAATTGGTCGTTGAAGACTCTCCGGCCAAACCTGACTACAAGGCGTTTTGGTACGACGAAGACGACCCAGACACCTTTTCCGAGGAGCACGACGAATTCAAGGAGGACGACATGATGTCCATGGCACACAACAAGCTGAAAGAAATCCGCGAGATGCGACAGTATACGAGACTGGCCGTTTGGGAGATGCCACTTCTCTCGAGTACGGCTACACCTGCGCACACCAGAGACGGGACAATTGAGCTAACAAGGAAAACTAGAACTCGCCAAGCCCTTTGAACTCCCCAAAGAAGACCACGTACTGCGGTGGCGATACACGACATACATGGGCGAAGCGCACCCGGCCGAGAGCAAGGTCGTGGTGCAGTTTGCGCCGCAGGACCTGGGCCTGACGGAGGTGCAGACGGACAAGCTGCGCAAGCTGGCGGGCGCGCGCCTCAACCCCGAGACGGACGTGATCAAGATGAGCAGCGGCCGCTTCGAGCACCAGGCGCAAAACAAGCGGTACCTGCAGCAGCTGGTGGGCGCGCTCGTGGCCGAGGCCAAGGACCCACGGGATACCTTTGCGGACGTGGCCCTCGACACGCGCCACCACTACCGCGCGACCAAGGCGGGCAAGAAGTCGAAGCCCAAGTTTCCCGCCGCGTGGCGCATGACGGCGAAGCGTCGGACGGAGCTGGCCGAGCTGCGCGCGCAGGCCGGCCGCGCGGAGGCGCAGCGGCTCGATGAGGGCCGCGTCGTCGACGGGCAGCAAAAGATTGACGGGTACCTGATGCAGAGGCTGGCGGAGGAGCAGGCAAAGGCGGCTGCTGAGCCGGTGCCTGTTCCTGCGGGTCGCGGTCCGGCCCGCGCGAGGAGATGAGGGCGGCCGGTAGGCAGGCAGGCAGGGAAAAGGGGGAGCGAAGGCGTGTGTACGTATACTTTGATGTATTGGCATATGTGGGAGCAGCGCCCAGATGTTATTTAGCACTGTATCATAGAAGGGGGTCGGGTAAGCCCCTGCTTCAAGAATCAAAATGTACAATATCCATGGCTATATGGATGACCTCGGTGTGAAGACTCTAGGGTGTAAGGAGATTGACCAAGTAAGAAATGAATCAAGTAAAGAGGATAAGCCTTTTCACGCTGTACCGGATATCATTGAGCAAAGACACTGAGTCACGAAATTTTGAATGAGTAGATAAAGATAAGACCACTGCCTACTTTACGTGGAAGAATTAGGTGGAGGGTGACGAAGCACTCTAAATAGTCATGCATGTGCTGGGACGGCGTTTGCGGCGAAGACTATTATTCTTTGGGGATTTCTATTTGGCTATAAAGGCTTCTGATCAGGCTCGCTGGCAGTAGCCGTATCAAGTGATGTTCTGTGGTGCGCAGGAATAGATACAAGACCGGGAAGCGATATCTCGGGCCAAAGTTCTGCGTGCCGACTTGTCGACGTTGCTGCCAATTCAAATACAGTACCAGTTCGGAAAGACACATGTAAAGAAAGGCCAATGGCAGGAATTGCGCATACCACGGCAGATAGCCTAGCTCGGCCAGTCTACTACCATGGTAGACCAAGTAGACGGCGCGACAGCACACTACAACAGGGGCGAGCGGCACCAAGAAGGGGGTGCTGATGCACAAGTAGGCGCCGAGGAGTAGCCAGATGCGCACACAGAAGCTGAAGGCAAGGTAACTGTGCAGAGCGCCATCGTGAACAAAGAAGTAAAGCGACTCAGGAAACAGTCTTGGCCGCGTTGTGCCAGTCCAGTCTCCGTGCGTGCCGCCAACGCCAATCATTCGATAGAATTCCGCTGGATTATTAGGCAGTGGCGGAGGAGTCTCGCTGCCGCTGTACGGGGGTGGTGGCGGGGGTGTTTCGGGGCGATCTGCGCTCGCTTCTTCAGGGCCGGCCATCTGTTCTTCTTGGCCGCCCTCCATGGCCTCTTGTGAAGGGCAGGCCACGGTCGAGGCAGTTGAGGGTGTCAAACGTAACCCACCTATAAACAACTTTTGGCACGTTTAGCTGGCGATGCGGCAAGTGGTTGGGTTTGATCAGGCGGGCTGACTGGCGGCGTTTTGCAGCAGATGGATGGTAATAGGCAGCGCGATGAATTCAGTCCGGCCGCAACAGCCGAAGCGAAGAGGTGGTTTGGTGGCCCCCAATGAGCACGGTTCGGCGGGCGGGTAAGGGGACAGGATGATGGGAGGTGAGTCGAGGACAAGATTGAATCCACAGCTTTCATATGCGGTTGGAGGTGAAATAGTGCGCACAGTGTAGTTTAAAGTTTATCTTTTTGATTTGAATAACAGATTTGACATTATCCATTATAGTTGGCTCTAGGTGGCTGTTATAACGATATGTTCTTGATAATTTCTGTGCATACAAGACATTTGAAAACAGAGTAGTTGGACGTTCGGTTTTTTTTTTTTTCTTTTTTTTTGACTCTTTATTATTTCTTTTCTTCTCAATTTTTTTAATCTTTTTTTGATTCTTTACCGTTGCCATGTGCCAGACACTCGAGATGGACCTTACAAACCTCGAAAAAGTGGTCCCAATGCAGCGCGCGCAACAAAGCTTCCACCAAGCATTCGCGGGGCTTTACTTTCCCCGTCCAAGCTCATCTTCAACCACCCAACAACCTCACCACCCCTCATCGCTCTCAAGCTCCCTTGTATTCGCGCAGCATCGCATAATTTCTCTCACCGACCAGAGCAGCCCGCGCGCGACGACGCGCCCGCGTCCACAGCCATGGCCACGGGCGACGGCCCTCCGCTGTCCATGCGGCCCTTTCCCGTCGCCGACAAGAGCCCCAAGAGCCTCGCCGACTTTATCTCGCGCGTCAATGCGCTGCCGGGGGGATTTCGCTCCGTCACGGAGACGAGCTTGGGGGAGGAGCTCGACGCGCGCCGCCGCCGCGACGGGACTACCACCGGCGGCGGCGAAGAGGACGCTGCGCAGGACGACGACGTAGACATGTCGGATGACGCCAACGCCGAGGATGAGGAAGACGGTGATGAGGACACTGCCGCAAAGGACCCAATGACTGCGCGCATGGAAGTTCTCAAGAATATAGAGTGCGCTGAATCAATCTTCCACCACCCCCCTCTAATTTTTTAGAACCGCCGAATACTAACATAATCCCCCTCCTCTCCCCTCGACCAGCATCGCAAGCAACACGGCCATGCTCACGCTCGACTCGCTCTCGCTCCTCCTATCCAAACACAACCCGACGCAGGCCAGCCTCACGCTGAGCCAGCAGCTCCGCGAGCTCGTCGGCATCGGCACCATGGGCGCGGACCGTCTCGACGACGCCAACACGACGCCGGCCAAGACGCGCGACTGCGAGGCCGTGGCCATGGGCTGGACGCTCATGGAGATTTCCCGCACGCGCGACGCCGCCGAGGACGCCGCCGCCTTTCTTGGCGCGGAAATGGCAGCCGAGGGCCGCTACTGGGAGGGCGTCATGGGCGTGCGCCAGGCTGGCTGGTCCGTCTGCCGCGTCCCAGGTGGTGGTGGTGGTGGTGGCAGCGGCAGCGGCAGCGACGCCCACGCCCCGGGTCTCGGCGTGCGCTTTGGCTTCTCCGAGGCCGCGCCCGAGTTTCAGCGTAATGGCCTCGCGCCTATTCGTCGCGGCGATGATGGCGTTCCCTGGCTTGACATGGGCCGGCTCGGCGGCACCCCGGAGCGTCTGGTTGTCACGTATGAACGCGGCGGAAAGGTCGTTGGCCGCGCCGCATCGCAGGAGCTACACGACGATGACGACGACGATGAGGCGGGTAGTTTGCAGGCTCGTGTGCTCGGCGCTCGCAACACCATTTTTGCGCAGGAGCTCTGGCACGAGCTGACGCGCGAGGCGCGGTTGCTCGCCGCGTACGACGTGCACCCGGACGACGAGAAGCGGCTCGTGTGCGCCGTCGACGCCGACGCCCGCATCATTGTCGAGCTGCTTCCCGCGTCAACCACGGCCGCGCAGTCTCGGCCCGATACCCACGACGACGACGACGAGAACCTGCCGGAAAACACTACCGCCGAGGCCATTTCCCTCGCGCTCCACATCCTCCTCACCTACGCCCACCGCTGCAACGAGCTGCTGCGCATCCGCCCGCTGCCGCCGCACGTCCCGCGCACACGCGGCCAGCACGTCCACACGCTTCTCCGCCCCATCATTGCGCGGCTCCTGTACGCCCGCAGCGCCCGCTCGGCCACGCAGCTCGTCGGCAACCTCGTGCAGACGCTCCGCCGCGCCGGCATCACCGACTCGTCATTTACCCTCTGCACGCCGCAGCCGACAGTGGCTGACTTTGCCGCCGCCAACACTGGGCCTAATCAGCCGTCCGCTGCCGTTAGTCTCGTCCGGCACATGCTGCAGCCGACTGACTTTGCTCTCGACGTCACGCTGCTCCCCAGCGGCGGCGGCGGCGGTGGCGGCGACGATGGCGACGACGACCAAGGGGTGTCCTTTACCGTCCGCGGCCGCACGTATCTCGTGCCCGTCACCGCTACATACTACCACGTGCTGGCGCCCGCCGGTGCCGCCGTGCACGCCCTCTGCGCGCCGTATCCCGACGGCTACCCGGACCTTGCCGCCTTGGCCGACTACCTGTGCGTTGTCGCCGCGCGGGCCCTCGCCGCGCATTACCTGCGTAAGCGCAGGGCGGCGACTGCTACTGCTGCTGCTGCTGCTGCTACTGCTGCTGCTACTGCTACTGCTGGCGACTTGGAGGAAGAGGAGGACAAGGACAAGGGGCAGCAGACGTGGGTGCTTGGCGCGCTTGGCACGCGTATACGCCATGCGCGGGATATCGACAGGCCGCAGCTCGAGTTTGTGGTTGAGAGGGATACAGCAGCGACGGAGGGCGGGGATGGCGGCGCGGCTGCGCTGCTGCGGCTTACGGTGTCGACGGACGGGCAATCCTGGACGTGGACGTCCAGCAGCGACAACTCGGCCAAGGAGACGCTGGAAGCCGTGGTTGACAAGGTATTAATACAGTAATGAGAGGAAGGGGGTTGGGTATATATGGTTGGGGAATTTCAGCAGCACATCAATATGGCGTCAATCAAGGGTTTAATTTAATAGAAATACCAGGGCATCGTCTTTAATTTTTTTTTTGGCGTTGTGTTTTATCATCTAATCTAGTTATAAAGGGAGTAATAAGGGAAGAGACGAGAGAAGATGAAAAATAAAAGGGATTTTCCCATCGTCACTCTTATAGGAGAAAAGCCAACAATCATGAATCGTGTAAAAAAAGGAATTCAACACGCAAAACAGCTCACATAAGCCAAGGCCGTCTTTCCTCTCACGTCCAGTCCATCGCGACAAAAAATTTACCCAGCCACGATATACCAGCAAGTAATAACAACAAAGCAGAATAAAATAAACAAACAAACACGTATTGGCCCTTACTCATCTCGTCTGTTGAACAAAAACTTGAGCTCGTTGACGCCCAGCCGTCCAATCTTGGCGCTCTCGGCCTCGTCGAGGGCCGCCTCCACAATCGCCTGCTTCTTCTCCTTGAGCTCGACGATGCGGTCCTCGACCGTCTCCTTTGTCAGGATGCGAAACACCTCGACGGGCTGCTTCTGCCCGATGCGGTAGGCCCGGTCGACAGCCTGCATCTCAATGTACGGGTTCCAAAAGGGATCCATGATGATGACGCGCGTCGCCTGCGTCAGGTTCAGGCCCGCGTTGCCGGCGCGCAGCGAGACCAGCATCACCGTCACGTCCTTGCGCGCCGGGTTCTGGAAGTCCTTGGCAACCTTGTTGCGTTCCTCGCCCGACATGCCGCCATCGTACCGCTTGGGCTTGTTCTGGAAGCCCGCGTGGCCGAGGCCGACCTCGATCAGGTCGAGGAGCAGGGTCCACTGCGAAAAGACAATCGATTTGCGGCCCGCCGCGTCGGCCTCCTCGAGCAAGCGGATGCACTCGGAGACCTTGGCTGCGGGGAGCCACGTCTGTCTGAGGTAGGCCATGTACTTGCGGTACGCCTCGCGGCTCTTGCGAGCTTCGAGACGAAGTTCTTTGAGCATCGATGGCTTGATATCAACCTTGATTACCTTTTCGTTTTCGTCCTTGTCCTTCTTCTTCGCCTTGGACTTGTTCTTTTTGGGCTTCTTAGCCTTTGGCAGTCGCACACGCTTGCCTTGCTTGATCTTGGCTTTGCGCATCTGTTCCTTTTCATGCTCGTCTTCCTCAGACTTGATTCCGTCAGACTCTACTTTTTCAGATTTGACCTTGTGATCCGCGGATGACCCTTCGGCCTTGATCTTGGCCACATCTGGCTTGGTGTCAGTGTCATCATCAGAGTCACTGAAAAAGTGGTCATCGACAACAAAACCAGCCAAATTGCCCTTTGCGTCCACGACATCGTCAGAGTAGATGTCATCATCGCTGGCATTAGTCTCCTCAATGACGTTCTCGTCAGATTCGTCCTCAGATTCGTCTTCGGATTCGTCTTCGGATTCATCTTCTTCCTCCGCTTTGAGCGCCTCAGGCATGTGCACCTTCCGGAATGCCTCCAAGGTGAAGCACTGTTTTGGGTTAAACTGCCCACGACAGACTGGACATTTGCATTTATCGCTCTCGTGACCTTCTTGAATATTCTGGGACGTCGCATTGTCGGCAAGCCGGCTCAAGCATTGGCTGCAGCTGTCGTGACCACATGGAATGAAGAACTGAGGGGAGGGGACGGCATCGTAACATATAGGACACTCGAAGCTCTCCGCAGCCTTGATTCTTGCCACGATGCCAGGCTGCAGCTCTTTGACCAAATCAAGAACCTCCTTTTCAGTCACAGGAGCATTGTCGGTGACGTCGAGATTAAGATGCGGGTGGCAACATGCTTGACGAAGACGCAGAAGAAGCACAAGAATATTAGAGTAGTTCCTCCCAACGCTGCCTTCACGAAGGTACTTGCTGAAAAGAACCTGCGCCTTCTTTTCTAGCTGGTTGTAATAATCACGCTCATCCGCGGATAGCTCTGCATATACGACCATCTCAGTCTTTGTTGGCAGCTCGAGAATGGGCTTGCCATCCAGCATGGAGTTCTTCTTTCGCCTAAGCATAATCGCTTTGAGGAGGGCACGCAGCTTGCTCATGGCGACACTTTTTTCATCACCCTTTTTGCCAAACAAAACGCCGAATTGCTGGCGGAATCTATCCCAAGCACAGTACGGCCGGATGCGCAGAAAGGCGAGCAGCGAGTACAGCTCCAAGACGCCATTCATCATTGGTGTGCCCGTCAAACACCAGCGGAAGGTGGCCCGCAGGCGATGGCAAGCCTTGGCCGTTTGCGTCTCCTTGTTTTTGATGCATTGGGCTTCGTCAAGGATGATGCGATGGTACTTTGCCTTTGTAGGGTGCAACAAAGGGAATTTGAGCGCAACTTCTGTGGAGTTATAGTCGGGTTCTCTCTGGGCAGCAGCATTCTCCTTGACAAATGTGTCCAATCTTTTGAGCTCTGCGGCGATAGTGCCGTACGTGGTCAAGACCACGTCATACGTGAGAAGGTCATCAGTGGTGGCCTTTTTGTTGTGATACACGAATACAGACATCTTATGGGATGTTGATACTTTGGTGTAAATTTCCTCTTCCCATTGGCGAATAAGGGACAGAGGACCGATGATGAGGTTCGTTTTGGGTCGCGAGGTGGCCCGTCTCGTCACCATCAATGCGAGCGTCGAGATGGTCTTGCCCAGACCCATGTCGTCGGCCAGAATACCGCCCTTGTTTGAGCCGTCCTCCATGGCCTGCATCCACTTGAGAGCGAGTTCCTGATGGTGATAGATGTTCACCTTGAGGCCCTCAACAGTATCGTTACGTTCTCCGAGTGGAATCTCTTCATCAGGACGGATATTTTCAAGTAAGTCGTCCAGCTCCTTGTCGCTCATTTTTTCCTGGGGTTGAGTCAGATCCAAAAAATCTCGCATGCGATCAGCCACCGGAGGGAAGCCAAATCCAGCCGCCGCGTTACTATATGAGAAGTCTCTTGTGCGATTGATAACGTCCATGGTGGAAGTAACGCCCATACTGGGAACAACGGGCATGCCGGGTATATAGGGCATACTGGGAACAACGGGCCAAGTCGTGGACCCAAGAACATGGCGAGGTGGTTGGGCGACAGAGGGACTGTACGGCGAGTACGGGCCAAACATGTCGGAGCCTGGAAAGGCACCAGGCAAAGAATGGCCTGGTGCCAATCCATGATTCAGCTGCCGCTGTCGCTGACTCTCATGAAGCCGCTGCATACTCTGGAGCCTGTGCTGTTCCGCCATCCGCAGGCTATGTAGAAGAGCTTCTTTTTGACTTCGGGACTGAGGAAGGTGCGACGCGGTTGCGCTCGGAGGCGCAGAAATATTAGACTTGGAATCCTGACCTGGGTACTCGACTTTGAGTTCAGTGCTGTCCTGGAAGCCAGATCTAGGGGCTCCGTTGGTCCGAGCCGTCTGCATGAGACGCTGCAGCGGATCCGACTGGGGATCTCGACTCCCGTTGGCAGCAACGCGGGACTGCTGAAGGCTTTTAGCAAAACCACGGTCACGCTGTCTCTGGGCGGCCAGCTTCTCCTGCTGAATCTGCGCGGCAATGTAGCCAGTTGTATCCGTAATGTCATCACTGGAGCCATGTCAGCTGGATTTCGACAAACGGCAGGAAAAGGTTCCCCATACCCTGTGAGGTCAATAACCTCTAGATCGTCCGAGTCGATAATATTATCAATCGAGCTTTGGGGTAGTCTGCCTCTGGCGACGGACATTGGCGTAGTCTTTTGCGATTTGGAATGTAGATCGGGACTTGTGGGACTTCCGCGGTGTTCAAAGTCTCGCTTTCTGGTTGGGAGGCTGATGGGCGTAGCAGGCGGCCGCTGAGGCTGCGACGACCGTTCTGATTTCACTGCTTCGGGTTCCTGTTAGTAAATGAATGTCGGCACCATCCATGTCACCCGGCGACTCACCGCTTTGCGAGCCTTGTGATGAAGAGACGGCTTGGGATGATGTTCCTGTTGGACCGTAAGTGAGTCCCCCAAAATGTGACCGGGAAAAAAAAAAGGGCATACCCTCAATCTTCTGCAGCCTCTCCGTGAGGAGCTGAATATCCCTCCTGGCGCTGATGCGGGCCCTTTTAGAATCTGCATCCTGCGCATCTGCGAGCGAGGCTAGGATCGCGCGCTGGACACAAATTTCCTCCCGCAGCGTATTCACCTCTTGCGATCTGCTCGGAGTGGCCATTCTGTCGCGCCGCGCATGTCGTGCACGGCGATCAACGCCGCACACGCACGACTAAGCGTAAAGGAGCGTAGAAACGAGGGTTGGCTCGCAGCGCATAAGTGAAAGAAAGGAACGAAAAGAAGCTGTAAACTCTTGCGCCCAGAATAAGGAGGGGCGGGATTTTCGAGGCGGAAAGGGAGCGACTGGGAGGATAGGTAAAGCGCAGTGTTTCGTTTGAATCGGAGAGATCGAAGGAATGTCTCGAGGGGGTCTTCGGCGGGGT